TGTTTGCTCTCAGGGATCTGACAGTCTGTGGGGAGAATTACAAGATGGGGAAGTGAAGCGGTAGAGCAGAAGTCAGCAAACTCTTTCTGTAAAGGGCCAGGCAGTAAATATTTTAGGCTTTGTGGACCATTCAGTCTCTATCCCAGCCTCTCAGCTCTAACATTGTCATGGGAAAGTAGACATAGGTTGTACTTAAACTAATGGGCATGGCTGTATTCTAGGAAGATTTACAAAATCAAGAGGCGGGTAAGATTCGGCCTGTGGAACATGAATTGTGCAACCCCGTGACATAAATATAATTAAAGTGTTGTAGAAGCAGCAGAAGATGGCATCTAACATTCTGGGGACTCTCAGAGGTGATGACAAACATACCCCCTGCTAGGAGCATCACCGCTGACTTGAGGAGGGTGCGATGAAATTAGAAGGGAAAATGGGTGCTGGCCTAAGGAGTGCTGAAGGGTCCAGCAGCTGTGGTACGGCAGCCATTTTAGTGTGGTACGGACACACGCAGCAGGGGCAGTGTGCAAGGCCTCTTTGTAGGTTCCGACTCCAGTTGTATGGATTGTATATTTTCTCTCTTGTTCTTTTTTGTTTTGTACCTCATTTTGGTCAACCATGTCCTGCAGTAGCTTCCAGAGAATGGGTACGTGGAAGGCGATATATCTTTCGACATCTTGCATGTCTTCGTAAAATGTATGTTATCTACTCAACAGCTTGAGTATAGAATTTAAGTGTGAAAATAATTTTCACTTGTATTTTGGAAGGTGTTCTTTTTAGCTTTCATTGCTAAGAAGTCTGTTGTGTTCCTCCTCTTCTCAAGAATATTTATGGGTCACACACCTAGTCTCATGTACACCTGCTCTGGAGGTGGTGCTGTCACCATCCCTGTGTTACAGCGGGGGTTTGTCCACACTCACACAGCAAGTCACAGAGGCCTTGAGTGATTTATTATGATGTTGTTGTTATTCCTGAGCCCTTGTGTATGGCCTCCACTCCCTGGAAACTTGTAACATCTTTGATACAGTTATTTTGATATTCTCAGTGATGCATCTTGGTATCAGTCTTTTCAAATTCCTTGTGCTGGGTTATGTGGGCTCTTCCAGGACTAGATTTTTGCTAGGACTAGATCTATACACTGATAAATTTTGCATACATCTTTGTTACTGCAGCTATCTCCTAGTTAATCTCCTTGAAACATCACTTTGTTGCAGCTTCCCTCTTTCTGAAAAGCTATTCATGCCTTCCTGTGCAGTCGAGTCTTCCCAGATAGAACTTCTTAGTCTGGTCAAGTTTATGTTTTTCATAAGTATTTTTTTCATTTAACTTGAAGAGCCCCTACACTTCACTTCAGTAACACAATGGAGTCTACCTAACTGCAGAGTTTATGATCCTGAAAAGCCTTCTTCACTGGGAGCTAATGCTTGAGGAATTTAAGATCTTGTGGGAGGGAAATGGGATAAGGAAAATCGTTGCTGGTCAAAGTTTTTAAACAATGTTGATGTTTCCTCCTAGGAAACAGTAAAGAAAGGGACACTAGGAAGAATACGAATGAGCAGTACGGGTACTGTTTACTGCCTGTGTGATTGCCCTTGTTTGGCTCAACTCCCAACATCTCCACTCCTGTGGATCGGTGACCCACTCATAGGTTTATTTACCTTTACAGTAGTTCAGGGTCTTTTCTTCTTCACGTGTTCCAGCTTAGCATTTAATTTCTTTTGAGAATTAATGACAAGGGAATTATCTCATTGTATCTCAAAAAGGTAGATTCTTGAGATAAAAGATGCTTTAGGCAGTCTTAATTCCACATCCTGACTGTGCAGGTGTTGCCTGAGGCCTCCTTCTGCACCCAAGGCTGGAGGCTTCAGTGCCATCAGGCTTAGGTTCGTGCCAGCAGGACATGCTGACTCATTCTCTGTCACATTTCCCCCTCTGTCTCTACTTACCTGTCCCCACCACTGCCACCATATTTATGTATATATAGAGAGGGGTCAGGGGACGGGAACAGAGACAAAATAGGCAACAAAATGTGTTGGGACTACAGTTTCTGGTATTTAGCTTTACTTTTTTCAACTCTTTTTTCCTGATTTTCTTCAGCAGAAAGGCCCTAAACCTCATGTACATTGGAACCAGAATTCTCAAGGTTGAGAAAAATACAAGTCAAAGTACATGTATGAACACTCATCTTCACAAACAAGGCCTTTAAAAGCTCAGGGGCATGTGTTGACAGGACCGAGCTTTGCCATGTGGGGCCCTAGGCTCAAGTTCTGCCTGTGCTTCATGATGGTCTAAGATTGAGGTCAGCATATGTGTAAAGAAATAGAACCAGATATTTTTCTTTCCATTCAACAATCTTATAAATTTATTCTGCGTGATTGCTTTTCTTTAGCAGAAGAGTTTATTGACTTCTTAAATCCTTTAAAATAATTAGTATAGGAGACAAACTGGTCATCCTTGGGCAGGGAGGATACTGCCCATGAGCATGTTTTGTTTGGCCTTTAGAATGTGTACAACATATGCATTATTTTCTTACATTTACAAACTTTGGTGTTTCTTTTAAAATGCCATATTTCTACCTTGTCTGGAAAAATCAGCATCTTTGGCAAAATGAGGCTGGTGGCTGCCACTTTTATGCTCGGCAGAGGGGCTGCAGTTTGCACCTGCTGTGAAAACGTTTGTTCCTTGCTTTGCCCCTGCGTATTTGCATTGGCACCCTGTTGTCGCATCCTAATTTTGAAAGTTAGATCCTGAAGTTCTATAAAAATTCGTGCTCCTCTAAGGAATAAGGCATTGACAGGGTAAAAAAAAGTGAATTCTGACAATATTTCTATCAGGAGTGCGTAGAGAAAAGTTTCCCAAGCATCCCTTTTTTCTCAGAGTACCTCAGAAGGCTCTGTTCATGTATTGTTCTGGCCCACAGTAAGTCCATTTGAAAGTTTTGCTTGGTAGGGAAGTCTGATGTGTCATAAGCATAATACTGCATTGCCCAAAATTCTCTGTGTAAATGTATCACACCAGGAAGTCTTCTTTATTATCCTGCTTAAGTTAAGCAGGCTTCGGTGACACTGCCCTTAATCCTTCTGTCCCTGGGCACTGCCTTCCTCCTGCTCACTGACCTCCTCAGCAGAGTCTTTGATCCGTGGCTGTTGCTGGCGTAGGCTTTGTGCAAGCTCGCTACTGTCTGCATGCCTGTTCCCTGCCAGCAGGAATGGAATATTACAGCTTCACTTTGGGAAGTCTCTTATGTGGATCCTGAATAGAGCATGGCTCTGTGCTGCAATGGTTGAGGCTGAGGCAGGGAGGGATTAAGTGATTTACCCTCAGCCATACCACTAATTAGTAATGGAGCCAAGATTAGCTTCTAAATCTGGAAGCACCTGGTCCAGAGCTCTTCCTCAGCTGCCTCCCTCCACCCCTTCTTGCCCTTCTTCCTGGCATGGCAGTAGAACCTGTGTCTCTTTTTAGAATAATCGAAACTTGTAGCGAGGGACTGTTTCATTTCAAGATAATGTTTAGCCAGTCAGTGAATATGGTTTATGATTATTTTAGTCAGGGTTTGAGTTTTAGGGTCATGTTTGGCTCCATTACTCAGTTATTCTTGTACAGTTGTGTAATTCTATAAATTCGGCAACTGGCATTTTAGACATTTTGTGAATACATTTTCATTCTAAGAAGTAAACTCAGTGACTCTGGAATTGACTAGGAAGTTATTCATTCATCCAGAAAATAATAGAACACTTTTGAAATGTGTGCTCACGCCTTGTGCATGTTTTGGTTATAATTAAGCTATTTGGGATTCATTTCCTGGGTTTTTGACAGTACTTAGCAGTAGCCAAGAAGAGAGTTTGCCATCTGCTTTCACTAAGAAGAATATTTTTTTGAATTCTCTCAATGGGCTCCAGTTGTTTAGGTGTTGGATCTCCTTTTCTTTATCGAGTCTCCATTTCTCATCTCTTTTCCCACATTTTCTTCTTCTTCTTTTTTTTTTTTTTTGTATTTTTTTCTGAAAGATTATGCAATCTTTTTCTTATTTTAATTTTTAATATCAGACAATATGTTTAACTTCTAAGAGGTATTTTTATTTCCTGTTATGCCTTTTTTATTGCATCCTCTTGTTTTTTATAGTTATGCCATGTTTACTCTGAGGATACTATTTAGAGTTTTCTTAGGTTCTTTTTTTTCTTTTAAGTTTTCTTGTTTCCTGTATCATCCTCATTTTCTCTGGAAATACTTTTTATTTTCCTTTTGGTTTTCCTAAATTTCTCTTTAATATTTTAGCCTTTGCCTATATGTTTTGTGATCTTTGGTGCCCTGTGCCAATGTTGTAATATAATGAGGCAATTTTAGGTCTGACACAAGAGTTTTCAGTGTATTGGAAGGACCTTGTTGGCTGGTGGTGTCCCCCTAGGAAGAAAAGATGAAGGGTGGATGGGAATTTCATTACTGTGGGGGATCCCTAAAAGTCCAGTGTGCAACATCTCCATACTGTTACCCTAGTTTTTTCTCTTTAAATTATTAAATTTATATGAAATAGAAACTTTCCATCACCATGTAAATGGGAAACAAAACTAATATTACTTATCATAAATGACTAAACACAAGTTAACATACTAATAAAATACATAAAAATATCAATCCAGGTATCACTTAAAATTGTCAAAACTTCAGTCTCATGCACTGCTTTTCTGCATTTTAGTAGTGTTGGAGTAGAGTTGATAGCCATGTGCTTATAATTTTGTTGTAATTTTATAATTATAGTTATAATTTTGAACTTGAAGCCCATCATTTGAAAATTGGCCTTCTAGTAGATACTTAAAGCAACAGCTGTGTCCAATTATTGATGTCTCCACAAGCCAAGGAAACTTGAGTTTAAGTAGCTCCAAAGTCTCTAAATGTACAATGTTTCAGAATCTGTCAGAATCTATTTGAGTGTTTGTGTACACAGTATAAGGTGAGCCTTCAGAACAATCTGAACACCATCTGAAACTCCTCTCCTAACCTAGGACTGATTGCATTGCACAGATGATGGATGTTTACGTGTGTTTGAAACGAGCATCCTGGATGGTGGACAATAAAAGAATGAGGACTGCTTCAAATTTCCAGTGGCTCTTATCAACATTTATTCTTCTGTATCTAATGAATCAAGTAAATAGCCAGAAAAAGGGTAAGTGCATCAGCCTTCCGGAGAATGAACAGATTACAGTTTTATTTCCATGATGAAGTAATTTTGTTGCTTTATTGACCCCTTTAGGATTTTGTTGGTTAAAATTCATTTTTTTGTCATCTTTTTTCTATGTACTTTTAGTTTCTTTTAAAAAGATCCTTAATGATAGATCAAAATATTATTTTACCATACAAAGATAAGATATAATTTACATTCAATAAAATTTGTCTTTTTAAGATTCAGTTCTGTGAGTTTTGACAATGAATATAGTTATGTAACCAGCAGCACAATCAAGATAGGGAACAGCCCCGGCCCTGCAAAAGCTTCCGGGCTCCTCTGTAGTCCACCCTCCCGGGCCCATCCCCTGCCAGCACTGCCTTGTCTCCATAGACACTATTCTGTCTCTATAATGTTAGCTTTTTAGAATGGCATATCGATGAAATCCAAATACTTTTAAATGTATTATGTTACATCTTAAATATATTAAGAATGTTTATGTAGATATTTTATAGCTTATTTCTATAAAGAAATTATCATCCTCCTGCCCCTTGGTTTAGTTTTTATATTATTTCCATATTTAAGCAGATCTCTTTTCCCCAAGGTCCTTCATTAGATTACTTTATTATTATGATTATTGCTGCTTTATAATGTGAGTACTTTTAATGTAATATTTGTTTTTCTGTCTTATATAAACAGCTTTATAATTGATTCCTACAGTGAAGATCATACCAACCATGTACAAAAACAAAAACAAAAACATTTTTCATAAACATTTATAGAATCTGAGATGGACTACCTTTTTTATTCTGTAATTGCCTTTTCCCCTTCTTTCCCTCCTTTCTTCCCTCTTTCCCTCTCTCTTATACCCCCCTTCTTTTTACTCATTTTTTTTCGGGGTGACTTTTTTCATGGCATAGTGCTTACATATTCCATGATGTAATGTTATTTTATAGATGTAAGTACTAGTAGGATTGTAATCTTTTGAATTGTTACTTTTCAATTGTTTAGGCCCACACCAAAAACACATTTCTCAAATGAACTCATGAGTTTATTACTGTTTAAATTTAATATACTTCATAATAACCTAAAGATTAGTTATGGGAGTTCTACCAAGGGGGCAGTCTGGTAGCAAGCAGTGAAGTGGTGGTGGCTAGGAGTTTCAAAGTTTTGTTTAAAGACTTGGAAGGCACATCATTTTTACTTAAGACTTACTTGTTTTTGTTTTTTGTCTTTGTTTTTTCCTCAAGTGGGGCTATTGAAGATTCAAGAGGTGCTAGAATCTAGCCTCACGCCCTCTCTTGGTCCCATTATTGAATCTACATGACTAGCCACTCACTCCCTTGATTTGTCTTAGTTGCTTGGAAGTGGAATTTTTGATAGCAGCCTAACCCCAAAATGGTCTAATAGCTGGCCCACTTTCATCAGTTTACCCTTTAGTTTTTTTTTTTATCAAAGCTGCAAAAAGAAATAGAAAACCAGTCCACTCCCATGACTGCAGGATCATCTTTTTGAAAAAACATGGGCTCTCTACAGACAAACATGCTTGTACTTACAACTGAAAATGCTTGACCTTTTAGAGTGCAGTTGACTTACTCAGCATATTCTCTCTGTGTGTGTGTGTGTGTGTGTTTCTCCTTCTCCAGGAGCTCCTCATGATTTGAAGTGTGTAACTAACAATTTGCAGGTGTGGGACTGTTATTGGAAAGCACCCTCTGGAACAGGCCGTGGTACTGATTATGAAGTTTGCATTGAAAACAGGTAATTTTAATTCACAATGAGCTAGGTTGAATTGCAGAAATGACCCTCAGTTCTTACTTTCTTGTTGCTTGTGGAACTAGAGGGTTATTTCCTGCTTGTGTTCTGTGTCCAGCAGAGTCTGCCATGACTTCTGCCTCATTTTACTCCTGTAGGGTACCAGGTGTTATGAGGTGTGATAGCAAGGTGAGAAGAGGGGACAGAGTCTGCACTGGCTTTCAGAGCCTCCTTCTTGATCTGGTAGATAAGACTGTCACTCAGATTTTTCCCACCAAATAAAGCCACATGGCTATACCTTGCTGCAGAGAGGCAGGGAAGGATGGTCTTAGTGTGAGTCCAGAAAGGGGACCCTGAAAAGTTTACTGAAGAGCACACATGCCCACCACAGGCCAAACAGAGGAAGTTAGTTCTGGTCCCCTGCTCCCCTGGTCACAATAAACAAATAGTAGCAATGCTGTGGGTTTTGTGCAAGGGAGTGTACACTAGGAGTATGAAAGTCCAGAAAGGCTGTCAGAGGAGGTGTAATTCTGGAGTAGGCACACTCAGTTTTCTCAGCAGAAAAGCAATAGGAGGACATTCCACCCTGAAAGAATATTGCGTACAATGGCTTAAATGTATGAGATGGCATGATTTGGAGAATTCAGGTGTTCATTGCTGATGCCTAAAGAAGCCTTGCCATGTGAGAGGTTTAGAAGGAGATGAGCTGGACCCATTCACGTCCAGTGTCCTAAGCACCCAGAGATACCAGGGGAACTGGAAGTATTTTAGAAACAGAACTGAAGAGGAAGTTCTGTTAAGAATAAACCGTGAGCCAAGGCAGAGGAGCAGGGGAGTTGCCAGTTTCATTTCCTTCATCAGCATCCATTGAACATCATCCTAGCATGAGGAGCGCTGTGATGCGCTGGTCCCCCAGTGAAGGGTGGAGCGTGAGCAGTGGAAGTCAGCCTACAAAGGGAAGGTTGAGCTGGGATTTTGAAAGGCATGCAAAAACTCCAGCTATATGGAGTCCTCTGTGCTTACTCTACTTTTTGGTACAATGTGGTTGTTTTTCCTACCCCTACATTGGTAAAATTACTACCAATCTCTTTTTTCAGTCTTAAAATGCAGTACAACCTATCATGTTTTTGCAACAAAAAGGGCGTAAAGTTTTTTCCTTTGTATTTTGTGTTAACCAAATTTTTATGAAAATTATACTATTAATTTTATTTGCTAATTAAAATTCAATTTCTTCTTATTACAGGTCCCATTCTTGTTATCAACTAGAGAAAACAAATATTAAAATTCCAGCTCTTTCACATGGTGGTTATGAAATAACAATAAATTCTTTACATGATTTTGGAAGTTCTACAAGTAAATTCACACTAAATGAACAAAACGTTTGTAAGTGTTTGCAAACAAACTCGATTTTAAAGTAACTCAAGTGTCATTTGTTAGTATTGTGGTGCATTCTAGTTCTTTGAATTTCATGTGTTATTCTAATACTTTTAATTCACTCAGCAACCTTCCTAGGAATTGTAAATGGTAGCCAAGATCAGAAGGAAGCAAACTTTCTTCTGGGCAATCAAAATATCCCAGAATTCAAGCTCCTTCCCTCAGTTCCATACTCTTTCCTTAGCCCCCTTGACTCCTGCGTACCTTCCAGCATTTCTCAAATGCCCCTCGCTCTAGGGCATAGTCTTGTCTGGGAAGCTACTGAAAAATGACAGTATTAGAATCAGAAAGGCAAATCAAGACAGACTCTAGGAGACTCAGTCGATTAATAGTTCCTTGTATTTTACATATCATGTAATGTATTGGTAGCATTATAATAATGGTCCTGATTGTGATTAGAATAACAGTATTGGGGTAAGAAAATTGAAAAGAAAATTAGGTGAGTGTAAGGAAGGGAGGAGATGGATACATCAGCAAATCTTTGAGCACCTACTGTGTGCAAGAGAAGCTCTGCAATGCATGTATAGCTGTCCTTTAGAGAATCTGGGTCTCTTGACAATTTGCTACTAAATAAAAGTATGAAAATTGAGTGTCTGGATCTAAAGATGCTTTTGAAATTACATAAAGCAAACAAGATTTTGTGTATATATACACACACACAGAGAGTAAAGTTTGTACTTCCCTTGTGTAAGCATGAAAAATTCTTAAGATTTTTAATGTCTACATTTCTTAAAATCACCTGAAAATTTGGGTCATTCTGAAGCAGAATAAATAACGTGGGTCCTGTAAAAAAGCTGGGAAAACTCTTACCTCCTGATGTCCTAAGGAAGCAAAAGCGTGTAGTTTATGGGTAAAGCTGAATTAGCATTAGAAGAAAATAAGAAAGACTTTCATTAAATTTCGTCCCTATCTGAGTTTCTAGAAAGCAAGTTAGCATTGCCCTCACGTGTCTGTTTAGCACAAAATGAAGATGGTAGTTCATGGGAGCTTAGGGGAAACTTCCCTATATGCTATAAAGAAAAGAAAGGGAACAGTGGCTTTTTAAAATCCTTGTATTTGTGATTATGGCCATTACTGTCTTTAGCTTGAAATGTTGGATATGACTTGTGTTTTTAAGAGTAGCCCACTGCTATTTAAATAAAATGTAAATTATGTGGACTTTTCAGGGAGAGAAGCATTTTAAAGATGAGCATTGTCTTAGTACAATACTCCCATGTTTCATAAATTGTAAGTTACTACATCATGTGACATACTGAATCATTTGAAAGAAGAGCCATGTTCTTGGAAGCCTCTTGCTCTTTTCTGGTCACACTGGCACCCTGAACTTTCCCTGTCCTGGTGCTAAATTAACTTCTTACCTCTCGTTTGTCTGCGTTTTTCCTTTTTCACCAGCAGCTGCCCACTTACAATCTCTTTATGAATTTCCTCCACTGTCCTTATACAGCTGTGTAACTGGTGTAACTGTTGACTTTGCTCTGTAGTTTAGACTGTAAATCCACATGTTCTGTGTCCTGTACAGCCCTAAACACTTTACGTAAATCCAGTATCAAACACTGTATAGGGCAAATTTTAGTTAAATGTATTTTTAAGTACTATTTTTAAGTTCCGAGATCAATGTGTATTGGTTTGTTCTGCCCTTTTTGTTGTTTAGCATATTCAGCTACTCTAGCCCTGCGCTCTCCTGCAATTTTGGGCTTACCATGACTAGATGTAACTGGTCCTTGAGCTTCTAGGATAGAAATGAGGCAAGAAAGGATGAGTCTATGAATTTCTTCTAACTTACCTTTACTTTACTGTTATTTAAGGAAGAAACATGGAAGAAAGTCCAAGTCTCTCTGATTCTCAAACCAGAAAGCCTACATTTTATAGAATGGAACATGCTCATACCTTCTTTGTTTTCCATTGGTTCAAAATTTTCCATGATTTATCTGTCATTAGGGAGATTTAATGATTTTCAAGGATACATTATTCTTCATGCTACCTTTTTTAGTGTCCTGGATTCTCCCTAGGAGATGCCTAAACCTTCGAGCATGGATTTTTTTCTCTTTACCTTTTGTAATACAGCTTCAGAGCCCACTGTTCTCCTAAACTTCTTTCTCAGATATTAACAGTAGCCTTACCAATGGTTTTTCCACAGTCGTCTTCTATAAACTGTTCTATTTGGCCCAGATAACAACTATTTGTTTTTATGTTGATGATCCTGGATTTTCTCTGGTTTCCTTCTGCTTCTAGGATTCCCTCTCTGGATTCATGTTGGTGTTTTTCATTCCTCGAAGGTGTAATTGTCTATCCGCAGCCCCTAAAAGGAGCTTTGGCTGGTTTATGTCTGTGTGTTCATGCTCTTTTCTTCCACTGCACTCAGTGAGTTCCTTTTAAGTCTACATCCACGGTTCTGACTCCGTGATGTCTTCTTCCCCTGACACTTACTCATCCACAGCCAGGCTTCTGTGTCTCTTCACAGTGACTCCCAATTCCTTTTGCTCCTCTTGCTGCTTTCTGAGCTAGAAACTTGAGAGAATATTGGTTGTTTCCCTTTTGCATTAGAACCAACCCTTTTTTCCTTTAATCTAGTCAGTTCTTTGAAATGTCCATGACATCTTTTCCTTAGATGGCATCTTAGTTTATATCCTTGTTACTCTAGCCAGGATTGCTCCAGTGGTCTCCTAATTGGTCACCTTATCACCTGTCTCAATCCCCCTCAGTCCATATTGCATACCACTGATAAAGGAACCTTTCTGACACACTTCTTACATCCTGCTACTTCTTACATCTTACAACCTGCCACTTCTGCAAGTAACCATTGACTTCTTAATTCAATGCCTTAGTCACTGAGACAATCCTGCTACTATTTAATGGTATCTAAAATCAGTAATGCCCATAGCATTTCTCAAGTGGGTGACATCCCCCAGCATGAGGGACTCTGACACCAGGAGATGCCTGAGACAGCTGCAGAGAAAACAGAGAGAAGCCTTTACCAAAACAAACTTTCTATATTTTGTCATTTTCTTAGGGTAGCCTACAGCCATACAGAGGAAGCTTGTTTTCTTCTCTCTGATGTTGCCTACCTGTAGGTTCCCGACTAAATGACACTATAGTACTATAGAAACCTAGTTGCTGTTTGTATTAGAAAATATGCTGTGGATTTGAAACAGCCAGCTAATAAATAATTTTCTTAAATTTGGCTGATTAAGTATTGGGAGCTACCTCTACAAATAAATAATATATTTGTTCCCCTTTTTCAGAAATTTGAGAGAATATTGGTTGTTTCCCTTTATCATTAGAACCAACCCTTCATTTCTTTGATCCAGTCCTTTCTTTGAAATGTCCATGACATTTTATCTTTTCCTTATATGGCATCTCAGTCCATGTCCTTTTTACTGCAGCCAGGATTACTAGGTTCTAGAGTTTCCTTTTAAATCTTGAGTGTTGATTTTTTGATCAAGAAGAAAATAGAGTTTATAAGTAGTTGATTAGCAGAGTTACAGTATGAAAAATCATTACTTATTTTACTAAGTTTTCTCTTTTGTTTCCTTTTTTTAAAGCCTTAATTCCAGATACTCCAGAGATCTTGAATTTGTCTGCTGATTTCTCAACCTCTATATTATACCTGAAGTGGAATGACAGGGGTTCAGTTTTTCCACACCACTCAAATGTTATCTGGGAAATTAAAATTCTACGTAAAGAGAGTATGGAGCTCGTAAAATTAGTAAGTTTGAACATAGATTTTCTTCCTATGACATTAAAGAAACTCAATACTTTTTTTTTCAGGAAGTCTTAAGGTGGTATCGGTGAACTTTTGGATTATTTAGGAAGTAAATCAGATACCTTTCAGGGTTCATTGAAAACATCATGCATCATTTAAAAATCACTTGTTAATTATTAAAAGATGTGTAACCGTTATAGATAGCTTAGGAAACTAGGGGAGAAATAAGCCGTGATTCTACCATCTGAACATAGTAAGTACTGTTTTTGTGTATTCCTGTCTGGACTTGTTTATATGCATGTTTTTATGTAAATGAAAGTGTACATTTAATTTAGTGTATTATTTTACCTTTGTCTAATGTTTTGAAGCATATTTAGCCAGAGTTTAGCCATAGAGCATTTTTTTATAAATCTATAAGCTCGAATTTATCAGTACATGCTTTTTCTCTCTCTCGTTTTTTCAATCCTGTTTATGAATGACCTCTAAGGATTCATGAACAACAGTTATGAAAAATTTGACAGCTGTTACATGGAAATGCTCCCTTTCAGCCTTTTACTCTTTTTCTTGATAGATTTGGAGTTTGCTTAGTTACAGGTTTAAGAATTAGAAGACTATCTTGTGATTTTACAATTTGTTCAGGTTGCTCAAGTACATAGATTAGTAAAGATAATTAGAAAAGATTATTCTAAATTTCATACTTTCTTATTGTTTCTCTTTGACAACCCATGTATTTCATTCCTAAAATAACATTAGTCAGCTAGCACCTAGCCTATATGGGACAATAACCTGTTGCTTCTAGGCCACATACAAACCTGTATGGTGTGTTACTGTACTGAATAATGGAGGCAATTGTAATGATGGTAAGTATTTCTGTATCTGAATATATAAAAGGTATGTTAAAATATGGTATAGAAGACTTTAAATGGAGGAGGGGCTTCAAGATGGCTGACTAGAGGCATCTTGTACTCACCTTCTCTACAACAAAGAAGCAAGATAGGGAGTAGTAGATAGTCACACTTCAAATAGATCATCCTAGAGAGAGCATCGGGATTCAAGAGAAGTGACAGGAAGCACCTAAAGCAGGGAAGGGAGGGGAAAGTGAGGCAGCCAGCAGAACACCAGCAGTGGCTCCACTGCTAAAGTGTATTCCATGTGCCCGGAGTCCCCTGCCTGCGGCTGCTGAAGCACAAGTGGAGCATAATGTGCCGCTGCTAAGGCTGAAGCATGAGAGAAGCGCAGACTGCAGCTGCTGAGACTAGAATGCAATGGAGTGAAGAGACAGTCTGTTGAATGGGAGAAAACATTTCCAAACTATTTGTCCAACAAAGGACTAATATCCAGAATCTACTGTAAACTAAAACTCAACAATTAAAAAATTAATACTCCCATTGTAATGTGGGCAAAGGACATGAATAGACATTTCTCAAAAGAAGACATAGGGACAACAGGTATATAAAAAAATACAGCCACATCATTACTTACCAGGGAAATACAAATTAAAACCACAGTCAAATTAACTCACTTCTGTTAGAATGGCTTTTATTAAAAAGACAAAAAAACTTACAGGTTGGTGAGGATGTGGAACATGGGAAGCTCTTATACAATGTGATTGGGAATGTAAATTAGTACAACTACTATGGAAATCGGTATGGAGATACCTCAGAAAACTAAAAAGAGAACTCTTATAGGATCCAGCAGTCCCACTTCTGGGTATCCGTCCAAAGGAAAAGAAATCAGTATATTAAAGGGTTACCTGAATTCACATGTTTATCATGGCACTATTCACAATAGAAAATACATGGAAACAACCTAAGTGTCCTTCAGTAGATGAGTGGATAAAGAAAATGTGATATATATACACAATGGAATTCTGTTTGGCCATAAAAAAAGAATGAAATCATGTCATCTTCAGCAACCAGGATGGAACTGGAGGCCACTATGCTAAGTGAAATAAGCCAGGCACAGAAAGATAAATATAATATGTTTTTACTCACTCATGGAGACTAAAAAAGCTGATCTCATGGAGGTAGAGATATTATTAATAATAGAATGATAAATACTAGAGGCTGAGAAGGGTGTGTTGGTGGGACAGGGGCAGGAAGAGAGGTTGGTGAATGGGTACAAATATACAGTTAGATAGAAGATACAAGTTCTAATGGTAGATAGCCAAGTAGGGTAACTGTAGTTAGCATCCATGTATTATATATTTCAAAGTAGCTGGAAGACTTGAAATGTTCCCAACACATAGAAATGATGATACTCATAAGATAATGGATACCCCAAGTACCCTGACTTGATCATTACACATTCTGTACATGTAATCAATACTCACATGTATCTCATAAATACTATGTATCAATAAAATGTTTAAAGAGATAAAAAATGGTACACCTGTATAAGGCACTTACCATGAATGGAGCTTGCAGGACTGAGTTTCTCTGGGTGACTGTCAGTGAGTGAATGTGAGGGCCTAGGACATGACTCTTCACCACTGTAGTCTTTATAAACACAGTACAATTAGACCACACTAAATTTATAAAACTTTTTTTCTTTCTTTGGTAATAAATTAACCTTAGCTTACTGTAACTTTTTTACTTTAGAACTTTTAATTTTTAAAAACGTTTTGACTCTTTTGTATTAACACTTAGCTTGAAACAAATACATTGTACAGCTGTACAAAAATATTTTTATATCCTTACTCTATAAGGTTATTTGTATTTTTAAAAATTATTTTTCTTTAACTTTGTAAACTATTTTGTTAAAAACAAAGACAAAAACACACACATTAGCCTAGGCCGACACAGGGCCAGGATCGTCAGTATAACAGTCTTCCACCTCCACATCTTGTCCCACTGGAAGGTCTTTGGGGCAGTAACATGTGTGGAGCTCTCATCTCCTCTGGTTACAAGGCCTTCTTCTGGAATCCCTTCTGAAAGACCTGCCTGAGGCTGTTTTACAGTTAACTTTTAAAAACGTGTAGGAGTACCCTCTAAAATAATGATAGAAAGTGTAGTACACTATATACATAAACCAATAACATAGTCATTTATTATCATTATCAAGTATTATGTACAGAGTACAATTACATGTGTTATACTCTTATACCAGCAGCACAGTAGGTTTGTTTATACCAGCATCGCTACAGACACATGAGTAATATGTTGCACTATGCCATTATGTTAGCTATGATGTCACTTGGTAATAGGAATTTTTCAGCTCCGTTATAATCTTAAAGGACCACCATGGTATATGTGGTCCCACATTGACTGAAATATTGTTATATAGCACATTACTGTATACCTTGATTCTTTTTATCCTCACAACAGTCCCAGGAGGGTGATACTATCATTATTATTCCCATTTTATGGATGGTAACAGAGTCACAGGAAGACTTTAAGTGGTGGAGTCAGGATTCCAACCCAGGCAGCTTGGTTTCTGAGTCTTCTCTTAACTGCTACAATTTATATTTTATAAGAAATATATATATTTTTTAAATTTAAAATGTCGTCCTCTTCCTTCTCACATATCCTACTTGAACCTACATTTCAAGACCCAGGTCAAATCCTACCCCTTATTTTATTTTATTTGTTTTGTTTTGTTTTGTTTTGTTTTTAGAGATAGGGTTCTGCTCTGTCACCTCGGCTGGAGTACAGTGGTATTATCATATAGCTGACTGCAGCCTCAAGGGATACTCTTGCCTCAGTGTCCTGAGTAGCTGGGGCTACAGATGCATGCAGCTGTGCCCAACTTTTTTTTTTTTTTTTTTTCATTTTTTATAGAGATGGAGTCTCACTTTTTTGCCCAGACTGCCTACTCCTTATTTTAAAACCCATCCTTTTTTTTTTTTCGAGTCAGAGTCTCACTCTGTTGCCCATGCTGGAGCGCAGTGGCACAATCTCGGCTCACTGCAACCTCCACATCCCGGGTTCAAGCAATTCTCTTGCCTCAGCCTCCCCAGTAGCTAGGACTACAGGCACGAGCCACCACACCCAGCTAATTTTTTGTATTTTTGGTAGAGACGGGGTTTCACCGTGTTAGCCAGGATAGTCTCCATCTCCTGACCTCAAGATCCGCCCGCCTCAGCTTCCCGAAGTGCTGGGATTACAGGCATGAGCCACTGCGCCCGGCCTTAAAGCCTGTCTTAATTCACCCTACAAACTCTCACTTTTCTTGATTCTCATGGCAAGTCTTGCCTGTTAATCTAATTTGCAGCTAACTTTGATACAGCTCTACCAGTGCTGTCTTAAAGCTATTATTTAAATTATATTGCTTAACTTGTCATTATGGCCTAACATTTTGCACTCTGGGGTACCACTTATGGGCTTAGGATAACTCCTCAAACCTCATTTTTATCATTGGTATCGTGGCAATATTTGCTCTAGGGTCTGCAAAGTAAATAGTGTATCTGTAAAGCTGCTAAACAAATATTGTTTGTCACTATTCCCTTTAGGGATGAGTCTTATTTATTTATTTATTTATTTAATTTTGTAATTTTTTTTATTACACTTTAAATTCTGGGCAATGCACACTTTAAATACATGTGCAAAACTGAAGGCTTGTTACATAGGTATATATGTGCCATGGTGGTTTGCTGCACCCATCAGTGCATCATGTACATTAGGTATTTCTCCTAATGCTATCTTTCCCCTAGCCCCCCAATCCCTGACAGGCCCCAAAGTGTGATGTCCCCCTCCCTGTGTCCATGTGTTCTCATTGTTCAGCTCCCACTTATAAGCAAGAACATGCTGTGTTTGGTTTTCTGTTCCTGTGTTAGTTTGCTGAGAATGATGGCTTCCAGCTTCATTCACGTCCCTGCAAAGGATATGAACTCATCCTTTTTTTATGGCTGCTTAGTATTCCATAATGTGTATGTGTCATATTTTCCTTATCCGGTCTATCATTGATGGGCATTTGGGTGGGTTCTAAGTCTTTGCTATTGTGAATAGTGCTGCAGTAAACATATGTGTGCACGTGTCTTTATAGTAGAATGATCTATAATCCTTTGGGTATATAGCCAGTAATGGGATTGCTGGATCAAATGGTATTTCTGCTTCTAGATCCTTGAGGAATCATCACACTGTCCTCCACAATGATTGAACTAATTTACCCTCGCACCGACAGTGTAAAAGCATTCTTATTTCTCCATATCCTCTCCGGCATCTGTTGTTTCCAGACTTTTTAATGATCGCCATTCTAACTGGCATGAGATGGTATCTCATTGTGGTTTTGATTTGCATTTCTCTAATGACAAGTGATGATGACCTTTTTGTTATTGGCCACATAAATGTCTTCTTTTGAGAACTGTCTGTTCATATCCTTTGCCCACTTTTTGATGGGGTTGTTTGATTTTTTTCTTGTAAATTTGTTTAAGTTCCTTGTAGATTCTGGATATTAGCCCTTTGTCAGATGGATAGGGACAAGGCTTTTTTATTTTTAATGTAACTTGAGGAGGAACTAACTAGAGAATACTAGAATTAAAGAGGGACACTCTGAAATGTGAGTGAAATCAGACTTAAATGAAGGGACTGTTATGCTAAAACCATATAGCTCATTCTACAACATGCGTAAGTCAGCCAATGACAAGACAGTAATTCCCTACTTTTGGGAAAAAATTTGTTTGGGAAAATAATAGCAAGAAGCAATGAGAAAGAACACATTTCTTTAGAACTGCAAAGGGAAAATGCCCCAGGACATTTTTATTAATAGTATGTTATTAATGTCAGTATTTAAGACAAAATTGCTTGTGATCATTTTATGATGTTATAATTCTATTATTTTGTAATAAGGCTATTATTTTAAAATTTAAAAATCAAGAATGCTTTGCATTCATGTTTGATTTGTGAGGCACTTGTCTGTGCATGGTCTCTGTGTCCAGCAGTGGGAGCTGTGTGCTGTGCACACCGGGAAGAGCTCACTAGGCACTGCTGCCCCTACACAAATACTCCTCCTTGACTTACCCTGGAAACAACCTGTTTCAACTCTTTTAACTGATCCCTTTCATTATTTATCTTCATTTCTCCAAATAGCATGCTTATGTTGCTATTTCTTGATTGCAGCCCCCCTCCCTTTTCTCCTCTAACCCCACCGCCTTATCTCTTTCTGCTCCTCCCTCTCACTCCTTCTCCCTGCAGCCTGCCATTTTCCTATCTTTTTCCATTGGAATCTATGATAATTTTTGGTAGAACAGTATTCATCATTTGTATTATGGTCTATAAAAAATATCCACATTTTTTTGTCCACTCTTTATATTATCTTGTTTTTTTGTTTATTTCTCTGCTTCATTACTTTAATCCTAAATTCTTTGCAGGCAGTGCAGATCTCCTTGCAATTTTCAAATATACTAAGTACTTTATCAGTTTTATCTTTGCGAATAAATCTCTCTGAGGGCCTTCTGACTGGCTTCCCAACCTTATTCACAGAAGGTTTCACACAGACACTGATAATATCTGTATAGCACAGAGTGTGGTAAAATAGCCGAGACCGCTTGTGGCCGGAGGCATCACAGAGGCTCCAGTAGTCTCAACCCCTACCGATCAGTTCTAGGTTTTAATGGATTAATACCTAGATATGTTTATAGCTCACTCAAGATAGACCTAAGGAATTTCAGCACATTCCTTAGGAAGCTGTGGTCCAAGGGGTCTCCATCATCTAGGGTATTTCCTACAAGTTTGTCTTAAGATGGATCTTCTTTTTGCTAAATCTCCAGTTTTTCTCTTATTTCCTCATTTTTGTGGAAGCATATGCACTTGTCCCTTGATATCTTTTGGGGGATTGCTTCCAGACCTCCCTTAGATACCAGAATTCAAAGATGCTCAGGTTCCTGATGTAAAACGGTGTAGTGTTTGCATATAATCTATGGGCATCCTCTTGTATATTTTAAACCCTCTTTAGATTATTTGTAATACCTAATACAATGTAAACATTGTGTAAGTAGTTGTTATACTGTATTGTTTAAGGAATAAGGACAAGAAATGTCTGCGCATGTTTAGCACAGATGCGAATTTTTTTCCAAGTATTTTTGATCCACAGTTGGTTGACCCCACAGATGGGAGCGATGAATAGAGGGGAGCCAACTGTATTCCAGTAGTTACTTGCTATTGTAGATATTCTCTGCTGTCTGTAACAGCTCACTTGCAAATATAATTTATTCTTTTAATTATTTAAAAATTTAAAAGCTTGTCAATTACTAATACTGAGAAGTTGCAGAGGAACTGGAACTTTCATATCATACATTACTGGGCGGAGTGTAAAATGCTTACCAAATGAATACATGGAGATACCACATTTATGAAAATGTCTGTTCTGCACTCGTGCATGATTACTAGTTTAACTGGGTAAAAATTATAGGTTGGGAAATTTTGTCAAGATTTTGAAGGTGTGATTCCATTGTTTCTTAGTGTGGATCTATCTTTATCTGTTATGCTGGACACTCATTGGACTCCTGTCAGTCTAAAAACGCATGCGTGTCAGCTTGGGAATTTCTTATTTCTTTGATTTGTCCTTCTCTCTTCTCCTTTTTTTTTTTTTTTTTTTTAGAACTTCTGTTCTTTGTGAACCTTCCACAACAATCCTCTGATTGTTTATATCTTTCTTGTTTTCTATGTATTTTCTATTTTCTGAGAAATTTCTTCTAAACTGAATTTTGCGTCTTGCTATTGAATTTCTATTCATATGTTTATTAATTTATAGAAGATCCTTTGAAAGAAAGGATTTTTTAATGCATACAGTTTTTGCTTCATGGATGCAATATCTTATCTCTGAGGATGCTAATGATTAAAAATTTTTTTCTGCGTGCCCTGTTTCCTCACGTTTTTTTCTTTTTCTTTTCTTTTTGGTCATTGACTTTCATATTAGAATTTCTTGTACACTTTCTGGTCATCCTGGTTGCTGCTCATAGTTAAGTGAGGGGCTCTTAAAAATTTTTTTTTAATCTAATTGGGACTTTGATTTCTCTGGATAGGACTTGTTGATGAGGGCCCTCCCTCTAGAGTGATGAGGATGGGCTATGCAGGTGGCAAATGCCAAATTTTATTTTAGGTATTTTATCTTGACCTGTTCATGTGACTCAGAAAAGTTCATTTAGACTATTACGTGGTGAGGATTAATCTGGCAAACCAGTATCCTGGGAGCTGAGCAGAGGAAGAAGGCATAGGTTAGCAATCCCCCTGTTTTTGGAATGATAGTCCCCATTTTCATCTCTTCCTAAAATTCTTCAATCCAAAGATATTCTGTTTTACTCTTCCAGAACATATATCTCTATTTTTCTGCCAAGGTAAACAAAGGTAGTCCTTCGATAGCCTGGAGTATAGGAAGGGATCTGGGTAGCCAACATACCTTCAAACGACTTTCAAGCAATCCTACTGTTTTGAGCTATTTATTTCCAGGGAAGCCTGGGACAGCCACTCACTGAGCCCTTTGGCGTTTCTGTAATAGAAGCAAACTGGTTTCCTGTATTTCCCATTGAATGCTTAAGATTGCGTTTTCTCAGGTCTTCTACATCAGTTACCATTATCCATTTGCTTTCCAGCTTCCAGATTTTAGTGATGTTGCTTTATCTCCTATATTTTGTATTTGTCCATTCACACCTTTTAAAAAAATCTGTTTACTCCTACTTTGAAGTGATTTCAGGAGGTAAGGGAGAAGGAAATATTTGTTTATTGTGTTTACCTAGAAGTCCCAAGTTATCTTTTATAGCACCTCAATATTTTATTGAAATCTTGCTCATTTCTCACAATTGATAATATTTTGTATTAGTATAACATACATATTTGAACTTCTATTTAAAAATAAAAGTAAATATATAGAATACTTATATAAAAAACAAATCTAGTCTTAAACTATTTTATTGAAATGCTGCTCCTCTCCTTGACTTAAACTTTTGAAAGTACAACCCCATTCATTACTTTTACTCCATGAAAAATTTAGATCATTAGGCAATGGTATACAGGTTGAGCATCCCTTATCTGAAAATCCAAAATTCAAAGTGTTTCAAAATTCAAAACTTCCTGAGCCCCACCATCATACTCAAAGGAAATGCTCACTGGAGCATTTCAGATTTGGGATTTTTGTTATTTTATTTATTTGTTGTTGTTTTTAGACAGGATATCATTCTGCCACCCAGGCTGGAGTGCAGTAGCATGATCTCAGCTCACTGCAGCCTTGACTTTCCAGGCTCAATAGACCTTCCCACCTCAGCCTCCTGAGTTGCTGGGACTACAGGCACAAACCAGCATGCCTGGCTAATTTAATTTTTTTATTTTTTATTTTATTTTTTTTGTAGAGATGAGGTTTCACCATATTGTCCAGGCTGGTCTCGTACTCCTGGGCTCAAGGGATCTGCCCGTCTCAGCCTCCCAAAGTGCTGGGTAAATTACAGGTGTGAGCCACTGTGCCCAGGCAGATTTTAGATTTTTAGATTAGAGATGCTCATCTGAGAAGTATATAATGCAATCTGAAAAGGTCCGAAATCCAACACACTTGTGGTCCCAAGGGATACTCAACTTGTATTTTCTTGCGTACCAAATTGAATGTTTCAATGAATAGCAACATCTTATATAATACGTTAGGGCCTAAAGTTGAAGAAGTAAACAAAAATGAATCATGATTATTGTTACTCTGCTATTACACCTTACACAAAACTCAGTTGTGTTAAAGGACAAACCATAAACTTAGCTGATGACTGTATAGAATCTCTTGTGTCTTTTAATTCTAAAGGAGAGCAAAACATATTGCTACTTGGAAATAGAGTTTTTTGTTTGTGTTCATTTTTAGGTGACCCACAACACAACTCTGAATGGCAAAGATACACTTCATCACTGGAGTTGGGCCTCAGATATGCCCTTGGAGTGTGCCATTCATTTTGTGGAAATTAGATGCTACATTGACAATCTTCATTTTTCTGGTCGCAAAGAGTGGAGTGACTGGAGCCCTGTGAAGAACATTTCTTGTAAGCTTATATTTAAAGAATTTTTGTTTCAAATGAATTAAATTAGTCTTACTTAAGAGTAAGATTTAGTTTAAGCTTTCAGTTCTCATAACCTCACTCAGCTGCATGAGGATTACCTGGGAGCTTCTAAGCCCACCATCCCTGGAGATTTTGATCTAAAAGTCTGAGATAGGCTTCAGGAATCTGTATTTTGAAAGAACTTTCTGAGTGGTTGGATAAACATCCAGGTTTGAAAATCACTGTCGTAGGAAGTGAAGAGCATTAAAAATTGTGTATAGATGATACTGAGATGAAATCTATTTAAAAAAAAAATAGTTCCCAATTTCTGGCTCACAGAGCAGATCCCTAGAGGCTGCATAGTTATTGCCAGGAACACGGGGATCTGCAAGCATAACAAAAACCATCCGTACATTAAGTAAAACTGATACATAGGGAGAATGTTGGCAGTTTGGATGGGGGGCCTGGAAAATTGTTGACCATAAAATGAAAATCTGAAAAGGCTGGTAATCATTGTAGAGAGAGATCTCTCTATGGAGAAAAGGATTAGAGGAAGGAAGGGGACTAGATGAAAGAAAATTGTTTTTTAGGATGTGGAGTACTTGGGCATATATTTAGGCCAATGGAAAGTAAGACATATGCCCTAAATACATTGAATAAAAGGAATGGAATTATTTAGTGATTTTTGGAGGGCGTGGATTGTTCGCATGTATATATAAACCCACGGAATTTCAACCCTTAGACTTCTTAGATATAAACCTATGACATTAAGTTTAGATATTGACCTGTAATCTGCTTCTGCTTTCTCACCATTTTCCCTTCATAAGTAAATAAAACCACATACACTTTTTAAAAATTTCTTATATATATCTTGCTCCTACAAAACCTGTGGAACACACCTTATCTTTGGACCATCCAAAGTACCTAACAGTTTGTAGTGTATATACTGGGCTATTTTAAAAGTCATCTTATGAAAAAAAAAGTCTTAAAATATAGAAAAGTTTATGTAAAAGACTTCTGTATAAAATGTTGATAATTCCTCTTTTTCTTTCTAGGGATGCCTGATTCTCAGACTAAGGTTTTTCCTCAAGATAAAGTGATACTTGTAGGCTCAGACATAACATTTTGTTGTGTAAGTCAAGAAAAAGTGTTATCAGCACTGATTGGCCATACAAACTGCCCCTTGATCCATCTTGATGGGGAAAATGTTGCAATCAAAATTCATAATATTTCTGTTTCTGCAAGTAGTGGAACAAATGTGGTTTTTACAACCGAGGATAACATATTTGGAACGGTTATTTTTGCTGGATGTAAGTATATGATTTTAAAGAGAGAATTCATATTAGGCTGTTTTGGTCCTCCTTGAAACCCTTAATTCTTCTTCTGGAGTGGGAGGTGTGGGGAGTGATTCTGTTTCTTTCTCATTTCTTTGTTCTTTAATATAAAGGCTATATACAAAGGAGGCACTAGAATATTTGCTTGTTTTAAAATGAATTGCAAGCTTGTTTTGTACATAACCTGTATCTGTATAATTTGTTGGTTTTGTAATCAGATTTGAAACATCTAGCTTCTAATGTTTAGTTTAAATTCTTAGTTAACAACTTTGTTAAGTCAAGGATAGTATATAATATTTCTTAACCCTGCATTGTTTAGATATTATATGAGTTAATTTTCCAGTTAAAGTATACCTTTTTTAAAATATCTAAATTAAAGAAATTATAGCAATTTTACACAAAATATTTCAGTAGCATACCATATCTTCTCCAGCTTTTAACTATTAGGTTTGAGAAGAACAGGCTGGCAGGAGGACATGGGTGAGGGGAAATGTACTCTCCCACTGCGTTCTATATATGATGTATGCTCTACCATTCAAGGTGTCTGTATTAACATGATCACCCCACAGTCTAAAATTCCATGGTATTTCCAGAAGTAGTTGTTTGTTGTGGGCTGCCCTGCCCAGTTGGCTTGTGTTGAATGTCCACAGATAAACATTTAGAACTTTGAGGTCTCAATTTTAGAGTTTTTCTGCCTCCCTTCCTTGTAGCAACTGTAACGTTTTGGTGTCACTGACAGCTTTATCAGTGAGTCCCTTCCTCCATGCATGCTGAATTAGAAGTCTGGGATTTTAGTCTATAGGTCATATGAATAAAGTGTGTAAGATAGATTAACTAGATTTTATGATATTTCTTTTGATTGCTTAGTGCTTTTTCTTTTTCTTTTTCTTTTCTTTTTCTTTTTAATGATTCTCAGCTGTCGTCTAGATCAGCCGCTCTCTTGTTTACTTATACAGTACTTCTTGATGAATTTCATTCAGATACTGGTGTGTTCCCAAAGGAATAGCCAGGCTTAGGTGCTCATCTCACCTTGATGGCTGTAATCTGACTCTCTTTGTCTTCTCAGTAATGCATTTGGAATTCAAGTGAAAGCAAGGTTACATTCAAATTTAAATCCTGGAAATCATATTTTCCTTCTTAATGGAATGTTAGGAAATTACGTGCAGCATTTTTCACAAATAGTCCTGGAGTCTAAGTTGAGACCCAGTGGTATATGTAGTGAAGTTGCTTCGTGTGCAATACCAAAAATGAGCTATTACTTAAAAGTATGAAAAAAGAAATTAAAACTTAAAAGATGAGACTATGCACTGTTTCCATTTCTGTTATTTCAGACAGTGTTGTAATCTTTTATCATAGTGATAGAACAAGCTGATTTAATTTATAATTTAACCTTCATTTATAACGTTTGGAGGTTGAAATATTGTACAATATTTGTTGAGCAGCAGTAACATCTACCTTCAGAGGGAACTTTTAGGAAATTTATAAGAACAGGTTATTTCGTGAGCTAGGTATCAGGATTCATTTATTTCCTTTTCTTTATGGATATCCTGTTAAGCCACCATTTACTGAAAAGACTGAAAAGAAATTTAGAATCAGCTTATTAGTTTTTCCCTACATACACGTCTGTGTACACATACACCTACCCTGCTGGAATTTTGATTGGGATTACGTTAAATCCATGGATCAATTTAGGAGAATTTTCATTCTTACAATATTTGCATCTTCCAAACTGTGAACATGGTATATCCCTGCATTTACTTGGGTCTTCTTTAATTCATCTTAATATGAGGTTTTTATGTCTTTTGGTCTTTTGGTAAATTTTTTCCTAGTGCTTGGTGTTTTCTGGTAATATTAAAAATGACTTTGTTTTTTAAATTGCACTTTCTATTGACTGGTACATAAAAATGTAGTTGATGTATACCTAGCTTTTAACCTAGCTTCAGTTGATTATTTTATAAGTCAATTTCTTTGAAAAGAAAATTAGTACATTTCAAATACTGTCCTCTCAAATTTTTCCCCTTCTGTCTGTCCTTCTATTTATCTCTTATTTGCTCTTGTTGTTTAGATTTTAATATTTCAACTTAATATCTGCCAAATCCTAAAATAACCAGCATTTTAAATATATTCCAGATTTTTGGTATGTGGTTTTAATAGAGTGACTGAATATTTGGCCTTAGATTTAAAACAATTTTCAGAATAAATATGTCAGTGTTTGTTTACTTATCTAATTGTTAAACTCTCATATAAACACTCATTAATCCTCTTAATGTTACCTAAAATATCACTGAAGGATGTTATCCTTATCTCTGGGGAAGGTATAAAATTTTCTAAGTTTTGCTTGATAAACTAAGTAGTATTTTTTTTTAATTCAAGTTTGTGAAAAAAACATTTTACAGAATTTTTAAACAAGCAGTTTTTTTAAAAAAGAACTTTTACCAAAAGTGAAAGATAGTTTGGATAAATATGACAGAGGAAATACTGGTTTCTATATGTGTATGGTTAAACATGATTACAGAAATATTTCTATAATAAACTGTCATACTGCAGAATTTTCATTTATCACTTTTTTTTTTTTTTTTGGAGATGGAGTATCACTCTCTCGCACAGTCTGGGTTCAGTGCAACCTCCACCTCCCAGGTTCAAGCAGTTCTCCTGCCTCAGCCTCCCAAGTAGCTGTGACTTCAGGCACCCCCTACCACACCCGGCTAATTTTTGTATTTTTAGTGGAGATGGGGTTTCACCATGTTTGCCAGGCTGGTCTCAAGCTCCTGACCTCAAGTGATCTGCCTGCCTCGGCCTCCCAGAGCTGGGATTACAGGCGTGAGCCGCTGCGCCCAGCTCGTTTATCACTTTGAAGGTCTCATCTTAAAAAAAAAAAAATAATAATTTTTCTAGTCCTGCCTTAAAGCCAAGGAGAACAGTTTTGATAAAGAGAAAAACAACGAAAGAGCTGCAGTCAGTTTGAATATGGAGACGCAGGATTTTACCAAGAGTTTTCTAAATAACAGTACTTATAATGTATTTTAGAACTCTGAAACATGTAGCATGACTTATTGATTTTCAGTATGTTTTGGTATTTCTTTTCAAATCACAGTATATCGATGATAGGTGATAATACTTTTTAACCTATAGATTTTTCTGACTTAACATATTAGACACAGGTTTCTTTGAGAGATTTGGTGGACTCTGAAATAGGATTAAGGGGAAAAAGTGGTAATTGATCTTTGAAGTTGCTATAGGGAGTTTCCAAATGAGCTAAGAGTGATTTTTCAGTATATTTTAATCTGTCAATTCTAATGTAATCTGAACTCTGACAAGACATTCCTGCATTGTTCAAAAGTAAAATGTAAATAGTAAATTATTTCATTTTTTAGGAAATTGTGGAAAGCATTAACATTTATAAAATATTATGTTTTCAGGGAAAATATATGTAATCATAAGTACCTAGATTTTTTTTCTTTTTTTTGTTAGATCCACCAGATACTCCTCAACAACTGAATTGTGAGACACATGATTTAAAAGAAATTCTATGTAGTTGGAATCCAGGAAGGGCGACAGCATTGGTGGGCCCACGTGCTACAAGTTACACTTTACTTGAAAGGTAACGATAATTGGGAAAGGATGTCAGATAGCAAGGAGTACATTGGAGGTACATGTTAAATGACATAGGGAAGTGCACTAGGTCATTTATGTTACAAGCAAGGTATAAAACCAAATATGCTGTATAAAATTACACTTATACGTACTGCAGTTCAGCCACATGTACACTCAATTTCATGTCTCCTCTTTTAAGAAGCTTAGAATGAAGAACACTTGAATATGAACAGAGACTGTTTCTGGGTAGTAAACTTACAGCTGATTATTCTCTTCTGTTTTCTGTATCATGTACATTTTCTTCTCTGAGTATGTAATATGCCTCTAATTAGAAATTTAAACGTTTTATACAAATTAAGTATTACAAATTTGCCTATTTTTTCCTGCAATATTTATCTCTTGCCATTTTGAAATTTTTTTTTTTAATTAACAGTTTTTCAGGAAAATATGTTAGATTTAAAAGAGCTGAAGCACCTACAAATGAAAGCTATCAATTATTCTTTCAAATGCTTCCAAATCAAGAAATATATAATTTTACTTTGAATGCCCACAATCCTCTGGGTCGATCAGAATCAACAATTTTAGTTAATATAACTGAAAAAGGTAAGCTATAAATTAATGTCTTAAAAATAACTTTAGAAGTGGTGAAATGCTTTGGTTAATGAAAAATACTTATGAGATTACTTTTTGCTGATTATTTTCTTTATAGTTACTTAATATTAATTTCATATATTTATAAAAACTTTAAATGTATAATTTCAAGTTTTACTATTTTATTGAGTTTAAATACTTGAATTAGTAATTTACAAATAAACTAAGTAGCTGTTTCTGATAATTCTTTTTTTTTTTTTTTTTTTTGAGACGGAGTCTTGCTCTGCCGCCCAGGCTGGAGTGCAGTGGCCGGATCTCAGCTCACTGCAAGCTCCGCCTCCCGGGTTCCCGCCATTCTCCTGTCTCAGCCTCCCGAGTAGCTGGGACTACAGGCGCCGCCACCTCGCCCGGCTGGTGTTTTGTATTTTTTAGTAGAGACGGGGTTTCACTGTGTTAGCCAGGATGGTCTCGATCTCCTGACCTCGTGATCCGCCCGTCTCGGCCTCCCAAAGTGCTGGGATTACAGGCTTGAGCCACCGCGCCCGGCCGATAATTCTTGATTTCTGAAATATCTTATGCCCAATTTTTAAAAACTTTTATTTTGAAGTAATTGTTGACTCTCTGGTAGTTGCAATAATAAGAGCCTTGTGAACCCATCCTCTGGTTATCCTCAGTGGTGTCATCTTATATAATTCTAGTACAATATCAGAACCAGGGAATTGACACTCTTAAAACACTGTTAACTGGACTACTGACCTTGCTCAGTTTTTATGTGCATTCATTTGTACTTGTGTGTGTGTGTGTAGTTCTGTGCAATTTATATGTATAGATTCAGGTAACCACTACCACATGCAAGATACAGAACTGCCCTGTCACTACAAAGGAGCTTGCTCATGTTGCCCTTCCAGCATCCCCTGTGCCTTGACAACAATGAATCTATTCTTCATCTCTGTTGTTTTGTCATTTTGAGACTGTTACATAAGTGAAATCATACAGTAGGCAGGTTGGCATTTTTTTTAAATACAAGCCATCCATGTTGTTGTATGTATTAATAGTTTGTCCCTTTTATTACTAAAAATTTCTGCGTTTTTACCAATCGTATTAATACATAGCTCCAAATAAAAATAAAATGTGGTTGGTCTTTTTGGTATTCATTCCCACGGTCCATGTGCATTAACACTCCATGTCAGGCTTGCAGCACACTGAACAACGGCCTAGACCTTCTCTTAGAGACTCAGGCAGGGGAGAAAGGGCCTAAACCAAGGGCATGTATCATACAGTCTCACAAGTGATTAGTAGATGATCCTGTTGCCTTGTTTGTAAGTGTAAGTCACTTTTATCAGTTATTCTTTGCTGTCATCTTTGTGATTTCTGGATTTTTCCTAGTGTCACCATGGCTACATTTTATCCTGGCATGGTAGTATTTGTATGTATTTGCCCTCTGCCATTTCAGCCTTACTTCCCATGTGATTCTTTCCTGCCATTCAAGTGGGCATACACACTATCACCAACGTAATATGCAGTTTGCCTCGCTGTACCTTCATTATTGCCATCTCTGGCTAAAATGCTTTTCTGCATTTTTTGTTTTTTTGGCCAGTTTTTGTCTGATTCTTCCTGCAAAGTTCATCTTAAGTTCCATCTTCACTATAAGACTTACCCTACCGTGCTCACATGTACGAAGTAGTTAATATCTGTATCATGCATTTAGAACTTAGCATTTGTATTCTTACTATCTTTCTTTTTTTCATTCTTTTTTGTTTTTTTCTTTTTTTTGGTCATTCCCCAAGTAAATTAGAAGTTCCTTAAAGGTAAATACTGTGATCTTACTACCTTTGAGTATTCCTGACACTAACTGAAGGGCTTTGAACATGATTGATTGTTTAAAAATGTTGGCAAGATGTCAGTAGTAGAAATTAGGTTTGTCGATTCCACAAGTACTGGGTAGGATGTTGTTGGTTAGCACTAATGATGCCTCTTTGTTTTTTATGTTGTCATATTAGAAGATAGCTTACCCCTTTAAATAAATGTTTAAAGTAATCTTTAATTATATTTGCAGTTTATCCCCATACTCCTACTTCATTCAAAGTGAAGGATATTAATTCAACAGCTGTTAAACTTTCTTGGCATTTACCAGGCAACTTTGCAAAGATTAATTTTTTATGTCAAATTGAAATTAAGAAATCTAATAGAGTACAAGAACAGGTAAGATTCTGCTAAAGACTTCCTTTGTGATTATTTTGGATGAAACAGTTCTCAAAAAGAATTAAGCAAATTGATATGCTTAAGCTCTCAGATTATTTATTATAGAGATTTACTAAGAACCAAGAAAGACATTAGTATCCGTGTAATAACAGCATTGTATCATTTGAAAAACAATTGTAAATTTGACTTTTATTCCTTAGAGTGTTCCCAGATGCAGTATAGTACCTGGCACATAGCTGGTGCTCAGTAAATTTGTGAATGAATGAGTAGTTTTTGTTGTAACCTTTAGCATCATTAATGGATGAATTGGCACCAGACAGCAGAAGTGATTTTTAAAAACTGTAAAGTGTGGCAGTGGGAGCAAGTTGTAATTGGTACTTATAAGTCACAACATGACTTTTTAACACATTTTAAATATTTAGGTTGACTTTTATATTATACTATCTTGTAATTTGTGGTAAGTCTAAAATAAATGAGGTGTACTTAACTATTCATTTGGAAATTTACTGATGTCTAGAAAATCAGTCATAACTGTGAAATATAATCTGAAAAGCTTCTTTGTAATGTTTTGGGGAGCTCAGAGGCTTTTGTGAGACACACAGATCTTCAAATTTGTTTAGAATTGTTTCATTTTAACTATTTACTTAGTTTAAGGAAGTATTTGTTTCATATTTGCTACATGTTTAGCATCATACTAGAAGTTCTAAGTGTCATATTAACAAAGATGCACAAAAGGTAATGCCAGCCTCCAAGAAACTTCCAGATATCATCCAAATAATACATTTATTCCTCACAGTCATCTCAAATTACTAAATCATGTTAAGGTTTGTTGCATCACCGTTAGCCATTTGACTGATTATCAAAGTTATGTAATCCTTTAGATAATTTAATTGACCATTATTACTTAGAGCCAGTATTTGAATTAAAAAGACAACTCAATTTTTTATTACTATTGCAGGGCATAATTTCATTGGCTTGGCAGGTCTATAAGAATTAAAATATTATAGTGGATAAACTGCTTTGGATGTTATATATACAAACTCATTGAGATTCTGTCAGTTTGTGTTACAAATGTGAAGGCTTTCTTACCAAAAAAAGTGTATGTATGTGTATATATATTTATATATATTCTTCATACACACAATATATACAAACATACATATTTATTTGTTTTCTAATAGCGGAATGTCACAATCAAAGGAGTAGAAAATTCAAGTTATCTTGTTGCTCTGGACAAGTTAAATCCATACACTGTATATACTTTTCGGATTCGTTGTTCTACTGAAACTTTTTGGAAATGGAGCAAATGGAGCAATAAAAAACAACATTTAACCACAGAAGCCAGTAAGTTAACTAAGTGATATATGGCTAATAATTACTGTGTATTCTGAAGTTTTTCAGCTTCTTTAAAAAGAAAAAGTTGGCCGGGCGCAGTGGGTCATGCCTGTAATCCCAGCACTTTGGGAGGCCGAGGAGGGTGGATCACCTGAGGTCGGGAGTTCGAGACCAGCCTGACCAATATGGAGAAACCCTGCCTCTACTAAAAATACAAAATTAGCTGGGTGTGGTGGTACATGCCGGTAACCCCAACTACTCGGGAGGCTGATGCTGGAGTGAATCGCTTGAACCTGGGAGGCAGAGGTTGCGGTGAGCTGAGATCACACCATTGCACCCAGCCTGGGCAACAAGAGCGAAACTCCGTCTCAAAATTAAAAACAAATAAAAAATGTTATCAGAGTCCTTAAAAGTGGGGGATGGTTAGATAAATTGTGTAGTACCTGCTAATAAAATATCACAGATATTTTAAATGATAGTTTTTGAAGTTTTGTCATAGTATAGAAAAATGATTGGCATAAATTATGTGAAAGGACAGGGCTCCTGTATGATTGCCACCATATTACCATATTACAATAATGTATAGAATGATATTTCTCCTATTCTTTTCTCTTCTGCTTTGAATTTTAATTAGCTTTTAACTCACTGGCGTTTAAAAAAAATTACTAAAAAAGAGAATTTGTTAGTTTTTATTTATGACCTAGACCTGAGAAATGATGTGGCTAAAAGGTCTTGAATTTCAGTTTCTGTAGTATACCTAGGTCAAGATAGTTATAAAATCAGGTAACTGGTTTTCTAAATATGATAATTTCCAAAGACAGAATGATATTCTATCCTTGAAAAACCAGATGTTCGGTGTAAAAAAAAAACTTAGAAATAGGTTTAATTTTTTATTCTTTTGGGATAGAGTCTCAGTCTGTCGCCAGGCTGAAGTGCAATGGCACGATCTCGGCTCACTGCAACCTCCGCCTCCCGGGTTCAAGTGATTCTCCTGCCTCGGCCTCCCGAGTAGCTTGGATTACAGGGGCCCGCCACCATGCCTGGCTAATTTTTGTATTTCTACTAGAGATGGGGTTTCACCATGTTGGTCAGGCTGGTCTCGAACTCCTGACCTTGTGATGTGCTCGCCTCGGCCTCCCAAAGTGCTGGGATTACAGGCATGAGCCACTGTGCCCGTCCGAAATAGGTTTTTTAGGAATCATTTAACAAAAGATAGCAAGAGCTTTATTTATATTATGTGGTATAGGAGATGTAATACTTCCTCCAAAAAAATTAAGAAATAGCAAAACAAATAAATGATAGATGTTAATCTAGATTTTTGCCTCTCCACATGAAGAGATGTGAAGAATAGACATGAGGGCGCTTTGTGATATATGTAAGAATTACTTGTATCATCAAAAGTGAAAGCTATGCATGAGTACAGAGAGGGAAGATATAAGTTATCTATTGCTGTGCAACAAATTACCCTAAAATTCAGTGACTTCACACAGCAGATATTTATTATCTTACCATTTCTATGGGTCAGAAATCCAGGAGCAGTTTAGCTGGATATCTCTGACTTGGAGTCTTTCATGAGGCTGCAGTCAGGAGTGTGGGTGGGAACTGGAGGCTTGATTGGGGCTAGAGGATCCACTTTCAAGATGGTTCACTCATGTGATTAAAGGCTGGAGGCCTCAGTTCCTCACCTTGTGGGCCTCTCTCTTTTTTTTTTTTTTTTGAGACGGAGTCTCACTCTATCACCCAGGCTGGAGTAGAGTGGCTGGATCTCAGCTCACTGCAAGCTCCACCTCCCGGGTTTACGCCATTCTCCTGCCTCAGCCTCCCGAGTAGCTGGGACTACAGGCGCCCGCCACCTCGCCCGGCTGGTTTTTTGTATTTTTTTGGTAGAGACGGGGTTTTACCGTGTTAGCCAGGCTGGTCTCGATCTCCTGACCTCGTGATCCGCCCGTCTCGGCCTCCCAAAGTGCTGGGATTACAGGCTTGAGCCACCACGCCCGGCCATTGTGGGCCTCTCTCTAGGCCTGCTTAAGTGTGCTCATGGCAGCCAGTTCCTCCCACAGCTGGTGACTGAACAGTATCTTTTATGATCTAAGATCAGAAGTAACATACCATTATGTCTGCTGTACACTGTTAGTCACACAGGCCAACCCTAATGCAGTGTGGGAGGGCACCACACACATGGGGATTATTGGTCATTTTGGAGACTAGCCACAATAGGAGTTTTTGCCTTCAGTTAATGAACTGTTGTCTCCAGGAGGAAACATCTTATTTGCACCTCATTAAGATGAAGGCATCAATTTACTCAACAAATATTTACTGAGTATGCATTACAGATTAAGCATACGTAATCTGAAAATCTGAAATGCTCCAAGATCCAAAACTTTTTGAGCACCGCCAGGATACCACAAATGGAAAATTCCACACTCTGGTACTTAACACAAATTTGTTCCATGCACAGAATTATTTAAAATATTGTATGAAATTACCTTCAGGCTGTGTGTATAAGGTGTATATGAAACATAAATGAATTTTATGTGTTCTTGGATCCCAGCCTCCAAGATATCTCATTATATGTATGCAGATATTCTATAATTAGAAAAAATCCAAAATCTGAAACACTTTTGCTTCCAAGCATTTCGGATAAGGGACACTCAACCCGTATGTGTCTGGAATTGTTCTAGTTAGCAGGGATATAGCAGCAGATAAAACAGAGATCTCTGCCTGTGGAGTTTGTAGGATCCAGAACTAGAAATAAATTTATGTATATACACATCTATATGTATATATGTACACACACACAAAGACATAGACACGTCAGTTTATCAGGTGGTGACAGATGCCACAGAGGAGAGGAAAGGATAGGAATAAAGGCTGAGGGATAAGGGGGGGTGGCGGTGAAAGGAATTGCAGTTTTAAATAGGGTAGTTAAAAAAGACCTCACTAATAAGGTAATACTCAAGCTGAGTTACAAAGATGAGGAGGCATGCCATGTTGTTTTATCTAGGAGAAGAGAGTTGTAGGCAGAGGAATAGAGGACACAGAAGTTGCAGAGCCTGAGGCAGATGTCTTTGGCATATCTAAGGGACAGCCAGGAAGCCAGTATGTGGCCAAGTGAGGGAGTGGGAGGATGTGAGACAGAGGGGAACCCAGGGAACCAGTACAGCCAGCCTGCAGGTAGATTTTCACCCATTTGAAGGGGCTGGTGTGTTTTGCAAAAGTTGTTGAGAGCTTAGATTTTCCATTGCTCTGTTTTCTAAGTGGAAGCCACTGAACTGCTTCACATTTTATTGAGAATTTCAAATACCCTAGAAAAAAAATGCCAAGCACCATATACATATAGTATGTGTCTTCAGATATTAACTTTAAAATCTTCTTTTTAGTTCCTTCAAAGGGGCCTGACACTTGGAGAGAGTGGAGTTCTGATGGAAAAAATTTAATAATCTATTGGAAGGTAAATATCTAATTTTTCCATGAACATTTACATTACTTTGCTAAACCGCTTAACTTACATATGGTACTTGGGTCATCAAGGAGCTGAAACTTCCCAGACTGGCTTTTGTGCAATATTGGTGAGAATTTAAGCTGGTTCCTAAACCACCCAAATTCCTCATCACTCCTAACTCCCCACAGTCATTTGAGGATCTTCTCTGTCAGATCTGAGCCTTCTCGAGTTTGATCTTATAAGGCCTGTAAAGGACCTGAAGATTTCATGAATTCCATCTCCCTCACTTCAGTTGAAATCTATAGGTTAGAATCCTGTTTGTTACATTTTTCTTCTATGAATGGGAAACTAAATTTTAATGTATTTCATGTATTTTATATATTTCCCTTCACTAAATTGCATTATGACATGCCAGTTTTAAAGTTTTGTATGATTTTGTAAAATATTTAGATGAAATATGAATTGCATATTTTACTAATTTTTCTCTGCTGGAACATTTTTTGTTGCTATATTTTTAAGTATTTTATGAATATCAAAAACATGAACAGTTTTCTATATTAGATTTTACACAAGCAGTCATAATAGGATTCCTTTAAATAGTGAATTTTGTTATGGAATGTAAAACATAATTTCATTTAAAAAAACTTTTGACATCAATACAGCTTTGAGTAAAGTGAAGTGTACATGCAGGTCCGTTGTGAGTTCTATTGCTTTGAGATTGTATTTGACTGTTACATCCACTCTTGATTAGAAAATCCCCCAGCTACTCTCAGTTGCCTGTCAGATTTCATGATAATATAGCAACGATTATACAATTTACTTCAATACAGAGAAAGTTTGGAATATTGTTCAAACTAGATGAAGACTTAAGTAAAGACTAAAAATATTGAAAGGATTTAGATTCTAACTTCATTACCTATGCTGATGGTGCCGCCATTTGCCAAGTCAGAGTGTGTTCGGGTAGAAAATTATGTTGTTTTGGTCATAGTGAGTTTTCAAAAGGTATGCCACTGGGATATCATGAGTAGAGTTCAGTAGGTAGTTTGATATATGTAAGGCTCTGGAGCTTAGGGGAGAGGTTGGCACTGAAAACAGCTTTGAGTAGCATATAAATGGGATCACTTGGAGATGCAAGGTGAAAAGTGGGCCAGGGCTGGAGCCCAGGTGACAGCAGCGTGCATAGAAGCAGCAGAGGAGGAGGAACCAGCAGAGGAGATGGGGAAGGTTTAGAGGGGCAGGAAAAGCGAAGAAAATAGAGTTAGAGAAATGGGGGGAGGAGGACATTTCAAACAGTGTGTGATCTGGAGTATCCCAAGAAGCCCGTAAGTCTTAGGACTAAAGCCTGCCCCTTAGAGCAGGCCATTTGGAGCATCACCAGAGACCTCTCTGCTGGAGCGGAGTTTTTAGCAGTATTACATCATCCTCAGTCTCGACCAGAGAGCCCCATACATTGGTGTATAAATTAAGGCAGTTGCTGTGAAAAGCAGTTCAGTAGAAATGAAGATGTTTGAATGTTCATCTTTTTATCCAGTAAGTTCACTTTTAGAAATTCATATTAAATTCTATGAAAAAGAAAAAAACATGGCACAAAAAAATTCACCGAAATATTTGTTTTAGTATTGTGAAAAATTAGTAACAACTTAAATTTCATTTACTTAAGGGACATTCAAGTACACTGGTAAAAGTGCTACATGAGATATAAAACCATGAAAATGTATATAACTGTATTATGGACAAGTGTACATTATGGAAAAGTAAAAAGTAAGATGGTGTAATGTAATTAAAACAATGTTAATAGAAGATCTATACCTAGAAAAACAACTTGAAAGAAATATCAAAATGAAAGAATACTTAAGAGGTGGGAATATGGGAGATTTTTACTAGTTTCAACTCCTATATATTTTCCAGATTTTCTGTAGTGGGCATATAATACTTTAAAATGAGAAAACAAATGTTTAGAAAAAAACCCATGATGTTATAGTTTTTTAAAATGTTTTGTTTGTTACTAAGTAGAGCAGTGCTTCTGGATAGTTTTAAAAGTTTTGCTCCGGAAAAATGTGGAGATAAATATTGTTTTTATTCACTTAATTTTTAAATTTTTGTGTACTCTTACTGCTTATAGCAAGTATAGTTTTCTTCAGTGTCTCTTTCCTGATTTACCCAGGTCTCAGTGGATTTTGAATCTGTGTTTCACACTGTTGAGAGCTTCTTTGTTGTTGTTGTTGTTATTGAGATGGAGTCTCGCTCTGTCAGCCAGTGTGGAGTGCAGTGGCGCGATCTCAGCTCCCTGCAACCTCCACCTCCCAGGTTCAAGTGACTCTCCTGCCTCAGCCTCCTGAGGCGCCACCGTGCCTGGCTAGTTTTTGTATTTTTAGTAGAGACAGGGTTTCATCATGTTTGTCAGGCTGGTCTCGAACTCCTGACCTCATGATCCACCCGCCTTGGCCTCCCAAAGTGCTGGGATTACAGGCGTGAGCCACCGTGCTCGGCCAGCTTCGTCTTTTCTGATATTACCTTGTAACTATTTGTTTTTTGGTTTTGAGATGGATTCTTACTCTGTTGCCCAGACTAGAATACAGTGGCACGATCTTGGCTCACTGCAACCTCCACCTCCTGGGTTCAAATGATTGTCCTGCCTCAGCCTCTTAAGTATCTGGGATTACAGGCGCTCACCAACACACCTGGCTAGTTTTAGTATTTTTGGGAGAGACAGGGTTTCACCATGTTGGCCAGGCTGGTCTCGAGCTCCTGACTTCAAGTGATCCACCTGCCTTGGCCTAAGTGCTGGAATTACAGGTGTGAGTCACCACGCCTGGCCAACCTTGTTATTGTTAATATACCATCCAGTTTAAACCCAATTACCTTGCCTAGTCATAGTCACCTTTTGCAGGTTTTTATAACAATTTGTCTGTTTTTCATAGCCTTTACCCATTAATGAAGCTAATGGAAAAATACTTTCCTACAATGTGTCATGTTCATCAGATGAGGAAACACAGTCCCTTTCTGAAATCCCTGATCCTCAGCACAAAGCAGAGATACAGCTTGATAAGAATGACTACATCATCAGCGTGGTGGCTAAAAATTCTGTCGGCTCATCACCACCTTCCAAAATAGCGAGTATGGAAATTCCAAATGGTGAGTGCTTGAGATGGTTTGGTATATAAGAACAGGAAACTAAAGTAAGAAATATCTGATGTTACTTGCTCTTTTGTCATGTCAGCATTCTTCTCGTATACCTTGTTACTGCTGACATAGAAGGCAGAATGAGCAGATTGATGTCTACAGTTCATTGAGAGAGAAGTAATTAGTATTGACTTGAAGCATGTGCACTGAGGGATATAATCATTACTGTACTCAGTAACTATAGTGGATAATATTGGAGAGGTACAGTGGTGGATAGTATTTTTAGGAAGAAATATTTTAACAGTTTATTCAAATGACATTCAGGCACTTCTCCAAGACACTTCCCCAAGACTAGGAAAGTTTATTTTAGGTCAGCTAGACTGTTTTGCAAATTGTCGGGCAGGAGAAAAAAGCACTTATTTTAATTAGCACCTTTTTTGGTAAGAAATTCCTTATTAATAGAAATTATGGATTAAAAAAAGTCTTCTTAAGGTATAAATTAGATCTTCAGTATAGGCTTTAGAAAAACAACTATAGTGTAATTCTTAAAATTTAGCACCTTTCTTTAAATTTTATAGATATCCAGTGATTAATACATTCTTCCCAGCTTCTATCTTGACAACTTTGAGAGTTACGAGCTTTAAACGGCCACATATACCTCTTCTTCCACTGATCTCTGTGCTCCAGTCATTTTCTGCCTACCCACCTTTCTGTCTTGCCTGCTTTGGGAGCGCCTTTCTATAACCACAGCTTCTAGAGGAAGAAAAATTGGTCCAGTTAGGGTCCTCTAAGTAGCTTTCCAACTCCAGTTTGAGGCTGTTTCTTATTGCTTGTTACTTGACTGCTTCTTTGTTCTCTTTGAGTCTGTCATAGGAGAATTTGGAGGAAGGAAGGGGAGAAACAAAGTGCATTTCAGAGATACAGAGCCTAGGCAGCAGTGCTGCTGGAGATGCCCAGGGGTTATGGCAGATGCTGGGAGGTGGGGCTTAGAATAATGGCTTCTTCATTTTGGCCTGGCAAAAATAACAAAATAAAAAATGAAGGAGACAGAGATGTGAACATCCATAAGAAGATAACATACTGATTTAGGTTATATATTTCATTGCTCTCACAATTCTAGGCAATAGCTATGTTATCTTTTTATTCAGGAAGCATAATCCTACCTTTTCTGTGTATCCCTTAGAAAATGGTAATTTACAGAACTGGCAATTCTGTCATCAGCTTTTAGACAATTTCTGAAGCCCCAGAACAAATCCTCATTTCTTGAGGATATCGTGACTGGAGGGAGGCTCTGCAGCCTCAACTCAGGTTTACACTGTGGCTTTTTAATCACGTTGAGCAAAAAAAGTTGTTATGTCTGAAGTGTTCTATATTCCAAGCCAAATTGTTGTCTTGCATTTAGTAGTAGTTGCTTTGGGAATGCACATTTTGTTCAAAAAACCTTTTTATGTTTGTTTTTACTGAACCCTTAAATATAAATCAGTTATAGCTATTACTTAGTTTCTCCTGTTACAGTGGGAAATGTCTGTGTTGGTTTTACTGAACCCTTTTTGTAGCCTGTGGGTGATTAAATACACTGCTGTGGCTGCATCCTGTCAAGGGCCACTCACCTACAGTTTGCAGCCTCCTGAGCATCTGGCTCCTGAGACAATTACTTGTCTAAAACTTTGTTCTTAGAAATAACCAAAAACCTTTCTATGTTTGTTTTTACTGAACCATTAAATACAAATCAGTTATAAAAACTACTACTTTTCTCCTGTCACAGTGGGAAATTTCCTTCTCCCTTTTGACCACACTGCCCTATCTCCCACCCCAATTCTTCTCCCCAAGCCTGGGGTTCCACTTCTTACCTCGGCCAAGATCTGGCAAGATAGGGAAAGGAAACCTTGCCAGGGCCTCCACTCCTGTGTCTGCCCTCAGCCTTTGCCCCTTGCCCTTGGTATCTCCTAGGATGCTGTGCAGGCTTCTCCTTCTCAGCACCCACGTCAGCCATCCCACCTCATAGCCTCTGGGTGTCTCCACAGCTTTCTCCCTTGCCCCCACCCCGCCCTGGTCAGCCAGACAACCCCTTCAGCCCACCTCTGGGGCCACAGTCTTCCTTGAAAGAAAGAAAGGGGGCTAGTTCGTCTACTGTTTCTACAAGTTCGTTGAGTGCCTACTCTGCACGCTGTGCTGGGCCCCGCCTGTTCTCTGCACACATTCCTGGTGGGTGATGAGAGGAGGGCTTCAGACTGTCCACTGTCCACTCCCCAGTCTCCCATCCCAGCCAGTGCCCTTAGCTGCATCCTTCTTGGGCCTTGATCTTGATGTCTTAGCCCCAATATGTTACTACCTGATCCTAGGTGCTTTTAAAAAATCACTTTCTTTCAGCTGCTATGTTAATCTATATATACAGGTAAGTGCTACAGTTGTTACAATAAAAATAACAGAGCAACACTTCTAATCCTTGCTAAAAGTTTATCTAGTTTGAGTACTATTTCATAATTTCTTCACAGTGAAGTGATTTTTCTAACTCATGTCCATTTTTATGAGGTTTGCCTTATATTATTGTTTTTAATGCCAGTAAAATATCCTCCTTTCTTATTGAAGATGATCTCAAAATAGAGCAAGTTGTTGGGATGGGAAAGGGCATTCTCCTCACCTGGCATTACGACCCCAACATGACTTGTGACTACGTCATTAAGTGGTGTAACTCGTCTCGGTCAGAACCATGCCTTATGGACTGGAGAAAAGTCCCCTCAAACAGCACTGAAACTGTAATCGAATCTGGTAAGCTGAATTAGTATCTCTTAATTAAGTTCTACAAACTATTTTTAAAAGGCAACACGTGGGACTAGGTGCAGTGAAGTGATTCTCTTTCCTGCTGGGTGGGTGTGAATAGGTTTGATTTTCCTGGGAGTGGGAGGGTAGTTGTGGCAGCATGTGGAAGGATCCAAACCCTTTGATCTGGTAATTACTCGTCTAGAAATTTATTCTTAGAAATAATCAGAGAACAACACAGATTTAATCTAAGAATGTTCACGGCAATATTATTGATAATCGTGAAAAATTAAAAACCCAAATAGCAAATAAGGGAATGAGTAAATGATGGTACACCTGTAAAATGGAATGTTAAGTAACATTAAAAGTTATGTGGAAAATTTAGCAACGTGAATAAATAAATGTTCATGAAAAAAGAAGACTACAGAACGGTAACCTGGTCTCACAGAAGGGCCTTCGCCTTGTTTGCCCAGGGCCCAGGTTACCGAGGTTAGGGAGAGACTGAGCAGAAAGGCCGTGAACCCCTTACCACTTTCCCTGATGCAGGGCAAGGGGGCATCAGCAGGACTGAGCACAGTGTGGGTGGGAGGCCTTGTGTTCCATGAGCCTAATGCTCAGGAGCTTGTGAGCTGCAGTTGAGTGGCCCTCAATGGGGTGCAGCCTGAGAAGTTTAGCCCAGAGCAGTATTTAATAACCTACAGGCTAATCCAGCATTGTCCTTAGGCATTAGAGCCCTCTCTCCAATATCATCTTTTTTTCCTGGCAGGATGGGAGTGTATCCTGCCTGTCCCCATGGGATTTCTGGACCCTGTAGCCTGTCAGTAGTGATGCTTCTTGATCATTCCCGTCTCCTGCCTCCCTTGCATGTTAGGGAAGTGCAGAAGAGCAAGCAGCCTACTCCTTACCTCTCAGGGAACATTTTCTACTTGCTTACTGTTTCTCTGTCAAATGATGAGGATGGGTCCCATTCATTGGATTATCACATATGAGTTCAGATTATTTTCCATTTCTACTTGGAATACAGCCAAACTCCTCCACATGTATAATTGGCTGAAGTGGTAATGATCTTCCTGAGTTGTTCCCTTTATCCTTTCTTACAGTGCACTTCCCTTTTCAAGGGCCCAGGCACTTGCTACCCTTCTCTTTCCTGCACCTTCCCTTGCATCCCCTCCCATGGAGCTGAATGAGCCTTACACGGTTCCAGTCTGTCGTTTCTCACCTGGGCTTTTAGAATAATCAGGATGAACTGGGGTAGGCTGGAGTGGATATAAATGGAGTATCTACCCATTTAAGTTTTAGCTGAGACTTGCAGGATATGGAGAAACTGCCCGGCGATGATTGTGGGAGGAGAACTTTCTGTGCCAACTCAATTGAACAAAGACACAAAGTTTGAGAAAACAAAAACTCAGAGAAGTTAGGTGACTTTTCCAAGGTCACAAAATTATTATGTGATAGAACCCGGGTTCAAATTCAAAGTTATTCAAAGCTTCAAGAGGCTGGGAATATTGTCTTTTATTTACTGCTGAGCTTCTGGAACAGCAAGTGGCACATAGTAGGCACACCTTTTATTCCTCTGTCATCCCGTTGTCTACTCATTAAGCTGTCTGCTCTCTTTTTTGACCTTCGCACATTTCTAATGCTCTAACCTTCTCAGGCTCTTTTTTTTAAAGTGTCAGAGCCCTATAAAATATTAATAAATGTAATATAAAAAGAGGTACAGATTTACAGATGTACATGCAGTATAAAATCATAACCTCAAGCATGCCTTTCTCCAAAGAAAAATGTTACAAAACTAAACACAATTGGCTGAGCTTGAGTTGCATTAATACGTATTTGGGACGTGCCAGCACATAGCAAACGTTTAAGGAAAATCATTGCAAGAAGAAAAGTTAAAAGTTTTAGACAAGTTGATTCAGTTTTTCTTGGGTTGTGTGATTTTAGAAATTGACTACTGTCTCACATTGGAGCCTGCAGGCCACTGGTGTGTTATGGGCACTTGATTGGAGAACTAATGCTTTAACCACACCAGAATAATTGCATTCTGCAAATTAAATGCAATGCCATATGCTGCCAATCCCCCTCCGTGACCCCGGCATTTTCTTCTTTCTCAACCACCACTGATGAGCATCTCAGTGCCCTTCAAGGCCTTAATCAGATGGCCCTTATGGTAGCTGTTTCTGATCTTTTTAGACTCATTTGGACCCTCACTTAAGATTCCGTGGAATCTGATACATACCTCTAATATAACACACTGCTAGGGTTACCCTTGTTCATCTGTCTTCCCCACCACTCCGCAAGTGTCTGCATGCTTGACATTTTGTTTTGTGCATGTCTGTGTTGCTCACATTGCACACATTGCATTGTATTCAGGAGACATTTAAAAGGAGCCTTTTGAGTTTAAGTTAAGGTACTTCAATTGGAAGTACCTCTGTGTCCTGTGGAGTTAATTCAAAGCACCTCTATATCTTGTAGAGTTAACTCACCCAAAGACACTTAATGGTGATGCTATAAAGAGGAACAAACTCTAAGACCCAGTTCCTTTAACACTGAAGCTTCAAGGCAGAGTGCAACTTTTAATTCTGCTTCTTGGAACAAGAGGAGAGAGCAGTGGGTTTGTTTTTTCCAACTCAGAAATAACACTATGTAGGGAAGGGATTTATAGAAGCATGATGTAGACCTGGAATGAATGGCTTAGTGAACTGACCCAGGAAGTTGATTTAGACTTACATTTTGTTCCTTAAAATCCAACAGTTGCCAGCACTTTGGGAAGCCAAGGTGGGTGGATCACGAGGTCAGGAGTTCAAGACCAGCCTGGCCAAGATGGTGAAACCCCATCTCTACTAAAAATACAAAAATTAGCCAGATGCAGTGGCAGGCACCTGTAATCCCAGCTACTCGGGAGGCTGAGGCAGGAGAATCACTTGAACCCGGGAGGCGAAAGTTGCAGTGAGCTAAGAGAACAAACCTCCCCTCCCACCTGGGTTTATAAACAAAAATCTCTCTCAAAAAAAAAAAAAAAAAAAAAAAAAAAAAATCAAGCAGTGATGTTTCTTCCTGGAAAAAGGAACAAAATGTAACCCTTAATCATCGTTGTTCTCTCCAAGGCAATCCCATCTTATATTACTAAACTTTTTGTTAAAATAGAAGTAAATTTAATTTTTGTTTAGTCAGTTTTCATTCTGAATACTAATCTTTAAAATATGTATTTTTAAATAAAACATCTTTAAAATTAGCTTTGGAAATTTTAGAGTATGCTATAAATTTGATATTTCTAAAATAGATATTCATAGTAATTTATTTATGAAAGTTTGCTGATGTGTTCATCCTATAGATCAGTTTCGACCAGGTGTAAGATATAATTTTTTCCTGTATGGGTGCAAAAATCAAGGATATCAATTATTACGCTCCATGATTGGATATATAGAAGAATTGGGTAAGTTAAATGGGTACTTATTTTTAAGAGTTCAGGGTAACATGAGAAATTATAAATTGGCAACAATAGTATGATTGAATTCTAAAAATAAGATGTTTAGTTCAAGGAAGGAAAAATAATTTGATAAAAAGTATTTGATTCTACTTTTTTCTCCTTTTCCTTTTCCTTTTTTTTTTTTTTTTTTTTTTTTTTTTTTTTGAGAGAAGATCTTACTCTGTCACCCAGACTAGAGTGCAGTGGTGGCACGATCATGGCTCACTTCAGCCTCAACCTCCTGGGCTCAGGTGATCCTCCCACCTCAGCCTCCTGGGTAGCTGGGACTACAGGTGCATGCCACCATGCTCAGCTAATTTTTGTGTGTGTGTGTGGAGATGAAGTTTCACTGTGTTGCCCAGGCTGATCTCAAATTCCTGGGCTCAAATGATCCTCCCACCTCAGCCACCTAAAGTGCTGGGATTACAGGCATCAGCCACTGCACTGGGCCTGCTTACTCTGAAATCATTTGTTGAATGTTTATATTTCACAATTTTGCTCTTGTCCTCAAGAAAATTAAATCTGAACTTGATGTCAAAAATATGTAATTAGTACTTTTACAAGTTTAAAAAACTGTTAACTTCTTCAGGACTATCAGTAAAGATGGGAAATACAAATAAAGTCTATCTGAATAGCCTCAGAAAGATTTTGCATAGATCACTTCCCTAGATACATATTTTGTCTGAAAGTGATATTGTAAGTTCTGCCTTTGTTCCTAAAAATATTTTTGTCTATGGTTATTAGTATGTAAGCTTCACAAAAAAAGCGTTTGTGATTATCTCTCTCCAAGTTTATGATTAAATAAGGTTTTAATTCCAAGTTGAATTATTTTTGAGGCTAGAAAGCTCAGGAAACTTTACTGCATTGCTCTGTATTCGTACACTCCCCTTTAGCAATTGACTTTTTCCTTTTACAGCTCCCACTGTTGCACCAAATTTTACTGTTGAGGATACTTCTGCAGATTCGATATTAGTAAAATGGGAAGACATTCCTGTGGAAGAACTTAGAGGCTTTTTAAGAGGATATTTGTTTTACTTTGGAAAAGGAGAAAGAGACACATCAAAGATGAGGGTTTTAGAATCAGGTAAGTAAACTGATAGCACGAGGATAGTGTTTCTTAGAAGTTTCTCTTTAACCACAACAGAAAAAAAAGGAAAAGAAGTCCTGCTCAGTAGTTTAGTACTGGTTTTCAAAACTATCTGAAAGAGAGAGAAATGAAAAGGCAGTAATTCTATGAATATACGAGTCTTAAGATTTTACATGCATAGTCTTTCAGAAATCATTTAAATCATTTATTCTGAAGCCTTTGATTATAAGCCTCATAGGACAGAAACCATCTCTTATTAGATCCTTACATAATCCATAACAAGGCATCTCATGAAGTTTTCTGCCAAAAAGAAATCTTGTACTTATAACAGTGGAGGAGAAAAACTCAGGAATCCAAAGAGTTAGCTTCAGATCCTCAGTTGTAATTTGACAAAAACCATTGGCCTATTAGCATTTTACTTAGCCGTGTCCCTGATAAGCTGGAAAACTTAATGACTTGATTGGGGGTTTATTAAAAAGTACAGACAATCCTTGGAAATTGGCAAGTGTTCATCCAAAGACTTTAGAGAATTCTCAGATTTACAAATACAAAATTGTACAGATTTCTGGCTTTTCCTTTCATTATATATCTGCAGAGAATCAGATGTTTCTTATAGCTGCATAGCACAAGCATATCATCTTTTCAGTTTGAGAGCTTTCATTTTCCTGGTTGGCCTCTCCTCAGAAAGAAATCATTTTAATTATTTAATGCCTGTCTGAGAAATAGAGAACTCCGCCACGGCATGGCGGTGCTGGCCGGGCACTGTCTCAGCCACTCCCCAGAGCAGCTGCAGGAAGTGTGTGCCTCCCCTTCGGTCCCCGGGTTCTGCATTGCCTGAACCTTCATGGTTGCTGGTGAATGAGGGACATCCTAAATATCAAATTCCACAAACATCCCAAGTCTAGTGTGACTTGCCTCACAAGCTTGGAAATTTTACACTTGAAACAGTTAAAATTCTAGCATCTAGATTTCCAGTAAGACATGGTAGATTGGTCACTAAAGTTAGCATAAAGAAGGGGAAAAAACCCCAAACTCTAATAAAGCCACAAGGAGAGAACAGAAGAGGCAAAACAACCCCAAAAAAGAAGATTCAGAAATTTGTGGGTGGAAGTGGGGCAAATGACTTAAATGAGTGGAGGACTGTGAAATCTGTGTGGGCAGTCAGGCATTGTGCAGAAGGAACTTCTCCAGTACCTGCCGGACCAGGCCTTGGAGGCCAAGTGGTGAGGATCAATCTGGTCTGAATGGAGGGATCAATTGAAGAAAGTTCCTTAGAACTGAAGGGTCTAACTACAAGCAGATCCACTTCTCTGCAGTTTCACTTTCCATGGTTTCACTTTCTGCCATTTCAGTTACCCCTGGCGAAATGCAGTCTGAAAATAGATGAGTTCAGTACAATAAGATACTTTAAGAAAGAGAGAGACCATATTTACATAATTTTTATTACAGTATATTGTTACAGTTATTCTCTGAGGAAAACGGAGGACTACTGTATATAGAGTGAAAGAATTCATTAAACACACAGCAAAATAAATAGAAAAAAGATCTATGCCAAGGTATGTCATTATGAATTTTCCGAGCAGCTAACGTGTAAAGAAATGATCAGAGACAAGCAGGTCATGTGCAAGGAATCAGGAATAATAATGGTAACAGACAGCCCAGCAATACTCCAGATACTAGAAGGTACCACAGAAGTCTCTTCAAAATACAGAATGAAAATTATTTTCAGTCTAAAATTCGATACTCCACCGTCTGTCAACCAAAGTGAGATTAAAATGCAGACATTTTGTACATGCAAGGCTGCAAATATTTACTTCCCCCATGTTGCTTTTCTCAAGAAGCTACTAGAAGAGTGCATCCTAATGAGGAAATGAAGTGAGGCCAACCCAGGAAGCCACAGGGGAGAGAGCAGGGAGCTCCCTGCGGAGCAGGGAGCTCTGCAGCCCAGAAGGCATCCAGTCTAGTGCAGGAGGCAGGGGATGGGTGGAGGGGAGAGCAGAGAAGATGTGGAGCTGGGATTTTGTTGTGTTTGACCACATGGAAAATCTTACTGAGTGTACATTGGAGGATATGGGAAGAATTACTGATTGGTATATAGAAAATCAAGCAAATGAGGGAAAAGCAGTTATAACAATGGGAAAACAAGAAAGGAAACATTATCACACCAAGCAGTTTGTCTTAGCATTAACTCATATTTATATAATCATAGTAATCCAAACTGAATTCATCAAATGTTCTGATGTTTCTATACGAATGATGTGGTGGGGGAAAGGGTGATGGTAGTGTAAAAGAGCTCTATCTTTATCTGCCCTTATAAAGTATGTGTAGATAAGATCTAATAGTTAAAAGCCACATCTCTCTAAGTTTGCTACTTTGGAATATGGAGGTAAATACCCAAAGAAACTGATTACATGACTTTTACAGTGGTTGTAGGGGACGACAGGAGGAGCTGGTAGAGAACTGTCACTTTTTGTTATTAACCATTTAGTACTAGTTAATTTTTTAACCTATTATCCTGCATTATTCTGATTAAATTTTTAAAAATAAAATAGTAGTTCAAATGATTCCTCACTCTTCCTTTTGAAGTTATAACTCAAAGGATTTCTCACTAGTCTCATTTGAGAGTTCCCATCACACTGATCCTTTTTCTAAGTGGTTTGGAGTCATCTCTATTGATTTGCATGTTTGCTTCATCCCATCTTTCACTCTCACTCATAGGAAGGCTCAACCTAAGTGGGTTTTGGTTGTGGTAGTTTTCATGCTTTTAGTAGCAGAAAGGGGACTTTTATTGATTGCCTGCTATATGCCAGGCATTATGCTAGAGAATGTGTGTGAAAACTTCACACAGCTTAAGTCGTGATGTTCTATTTCATAAGTAGAAAAACTCCAGTTGAGAGTGGTTTAAATAACGGGCCCATATCATACAGCTACTGACTGGCATGGGGGTAGAGTTTGAACAAGGTAGTGGCAGCTGCAGAGTCCTTGGCTGGGATGACTGCAGCTAGACCCACTTAGAAGGGCAGTTAGTGAGACAGGTGTAGGTAACCATGCATTTAAAACGGGTTAGAGTTAGTGCTAACATACTTCATTTTAAAAATAGGTCGTTCTGACATAAAGGTTAAGAATATTACTGACATATCCCAGAAGACACTGAGAATTGCTGACCTTCAAGGTAAAACAAGTTACCACCTGGTCTTGCGAGCCTATACAGATGGTGGAGTGGGCCCAGAGAAGAGTATGTACGTGGTGACAAAGGAAAATTGTAAGTTTCGGGTTGCTGTTGAGGTGCTTTCCATCCTGCATGCGTAGTGTTCCTAGTGATTCTTGGTTTATGTAGGAACCCCTCCCCACCCTTTCTAAAAAACATTCACATTTTGTTGCATTTTTTGGCTGGTGGAGGGAAGGGTTAAAAAGCTATAAGATTACTTTATGTTTATTCTTGTCAGTTATTTGAAGTTATTTCCAAATGAGTACCTAATAAATTAATGAATTTGGGGTACATCTGAAGTCTAGAGGTCTAAAGTCATATTGAATTTATCTAATGGTCAGTGATTAAAAATGTTTTGCTCCAGCTATTCTGTGATTTCTCACGTATCTAGGGAAAAGTGAAGATGTTCTTAAAAATTTTTTTGTAAAGCACAACACTCATAAATTTGAGAGACAAGAACCGTGATGGCCTTGACTGTCTTTCTGCAGTAAAGAACTTTACTTGGATCATGGGCTTATCCTCTACCCCTGAGTTGGAGAGTTCAGACACAGCTCTTAAATAAAGAGCCATGAGGATATGGTTCTCTAAAGCAGTGATTCTCAACGGAGGGTGATTTTGTCACCTACGAGATACTTGGCACTGTCTGGTATCATTTGTTGTCATAACTGGGGCATACTACTGGTATCTAGCGGTGAGAGGCCACGGACGCTCTTAAACTTCCAGTAGTGTACAGGACTGTCTCCCCCGATCCTCTAGTGAAGATCTGTCTGGCCTAAAATGTCAAGTTTCAAGATTGAGAAACCCTACTTGAAAGAGTTTAAGTATTTGCGTAAAAATTATCACAATACCTGAAGGTTAGATTATAATAGTTTTTCAGTGTCCCTGCAGCAGTTAATTTTGTTTTTTTCCTAAATGATCTACCAACCTAAATATCTTCTAACATAAATCTATTCTGTACTTCACACTAAAAATAGTGATTTTAATATTTGTAATACTCTCATTTCAGCTGTGGGATTAATTATTGCCATTCTCATCCCAGTGGCAGTGGCTGTCATTGTTGGAGTGGTGACAAGTATCCTTTGTTATCGGAAACGAGAATGGTAATGGTTTCTGCATTTACTCTTGCTCTTCTTAAGGGCATGATTATAAGATTTGTAAGATTAGTTTATGTATTAAGTATATCTTTTTTGTTGTAATAAGTTAGTAAAAAAAATTTTAATTAGAATTAATGTTGAATTTAATATTAAACATGACATATTATTTAAAGGTCTTAGTAGAGTCAATGTGTAAATTTTTTTCTACCGTTTTTCCTAATAATTTAAAGTCATAGCAGTTACTATTATAAAAAATATTTATAGGCTGAAATACGGCAATAGCTATCTACAAGATTAAACATGATTTAATGATTAAGATCTCACTTGCCCTGGTGACCTATCATTTTGATCATTTGCTCATTTATTCAACAAATATGAATGACCTCTTCCATGTGAAGGGGGGAATATTGTGGTGCACAAAACAAGCTATGGTTCTTATAGACTTGGAGCACAGTATGGGAAGAGGGACAGTAAACCATAGACATTCAGCAAATGTGTGCTTGCAGAGTGTGAGTGGGTGCTAGGAAGACTGAACCAGGTACCCTGAGGAGACCAGCAGGGGGCTACGTCCTGGGAGCTGGTTGGCCACTGCTAGTCACGGCCGGTCTGTGGGAGAGTTCCAAAGGGTAAGGAGAGGCAAAAGAATGTTACAGACAGAGAATTCTTTCTTTGAGAGTCCTGAAATTGGAAGGAGTTAAAACCTTCAGAGAAAGTGAGAGGAGCTGTGTGCCTGGTGAAGCAGGAATGAGTGATGTGAGGTGAGGTGAAGTCAGTGGGGGCTCCATGGGAGAGAGGGCCATGTGTGTGGTTACCCGGCAGGAGCTGTCCTGGCTGTGTATGGGGCCAGTGGCTGCATTCATGCTTAGACCAGTCCTCACCGGCCTTAAAAATAACATCATTTATGACAAGAGAACATATTTTAGCAATCTTGGCTTATAAATCAAAATAGTAATAGTTGTAGAACTATAGAATAGTCTATTTTGGTAACCATATTCTCATTACCAAAAGTCACATTTTACAAACAACTGTTAGGCCGGGTACAGTGGCTCACACCTGTAATCCCGGCACTCTGGGAGGCCAAGGCAGGCGGATCAAGAGGTCAGGAGATCAAGACCATCCTGGCCAACATGGTGAAACCCTATCTCTACTAAAAATACAAAAAAGTAGCTGGGTGTGGTGGCACGTGCCTGTAATCCCAGCTACTCAGGAGGCTGAGGCAGGATAATCGCTTGAACCAGGGAGTTGGAGGTTGCGGTGAGCCAAGATGGTGCCACTGCACCCCAGCCTAGCAACAGAGCAAGACTCTGTCTCAAAAAAAAAATAAAAAGACAAAATAAGGGAGTTTAGAAGTTACAGCGTTTCAAACTCACGTTAACAAAGTTATTTTTTCTGTAGGAATTTCAGGTAATACAGTTCTTTTTAGTAGCCGTAAATATAAAAATATGATAGGACACTGAGCAAATCTCATTTTTGGTTGCATTTAGTTTTTAGTCAAGATTAATAGGCTTTTTCTTAGCACAGCCTGCAGTGTACTCATGACACATGGCTGTCACCTTTATGACCACCTCATTACCCCACCTTGGTAAAGGCAAATCTCATTTTTGGCTGCATTTAGTTTTTGTTCGAGATTAATAGCCTTTTTCTTAGCACAGCCTGCAGTGTACTCATGACACGTAGTTATCACCTTTATGATCACCTTTTTAACCACCTCCGTAAAGCAGTGCCATGGGATCACAGCTGTTCTTCCATAGCCTAGATCCTTTGGACTAGATGGCACAACCACTATTTTAATTATTTGCTTTCCGTTTTCATGAGATACATGGGTATGGTAGTTCTAGAAATTGAATTACTGTTTATGGTTTTCTTTTTTTTTGGAGGGGGTGGGGGATAGAGTCTCGCTCTGTCACCCAGGCTGGAGTGCAGTGGCGCGATCTCTGCTCACCGCAACCTCCGCCTCCCGGGTTTACACCATTCTCCTGCCTCAGCCTTCCGAGTAGCTGGGACTACAGGAGCCTGCCACCACGCCCAGCTAATTTTTTGTATTTTTAGTAGAAACGGGGTTTCACCATGTTAGCCAGGATGGTCTCGATCTCCTGACCTTGTGATCTGCCCGCCTCAGCCTCCCAAAGTGCTGGGATTACAGGCGTGAGCCACCATGCCCAGGCCTGTTTATGGTTTTCAAATTGGAACCTCTCAGTGCGTTGTATAGACAGCTCTAGTGAATGATCACACGAAAGAGCTTCCATTTGAATCTCACATGTTCATTAACAGATTCATAAATACTTCAAAATAAGCCTAATGATTTATTAACTTATTATCTAATAATCTTAAAACTATTAAATTTACTTTAATAATTTTTTATTAAAGGATTAAAGAAACCTTCTACCCTGATATTCCAAATCCAGAAAACTGTAAAGCGTTACAGTTTCAAAAGAGTGTCTGTGAGGTAATCTTTTATTTTCTTATATTTATCTTTGACGTGCTGGCTTGTTTTTTTAATCTTTTGTGAAAAGTTTTTAACATGCAAGTGTCATTCTAAGTAAAAAGTGTTGGGAAGATAGTATACTTTGAAAATCCCAGTTTCTAAAATTATTAATTTTAAATTATACCATACTCTTTTTTCTCCCACAAATATTAATAACAAGGAAAAACTGATATGGAAGAAAAAAGTGGCTGTGCTGTAGTGTGAAATGCAGAGTAGTAGAGGCACCTGTTTACAAGCAGGTTTGGGGAAAAAGGTGCCCCTGTTTGTAGGAGGAGCATTGCAGTAGCATTTAGTGCTATTTTTAATCACCATTTTAAAATTTATTTCTAGGGAAGCAGTGGTCTTAAGACATTGGAAATGAATCCTTGTACCCCAAATAATGTTGAGGTTCTGGAAACTCGATCAGCATTTCCTAAAATAGAAGATACAGAAATAATTTCGCCAGTAGCTGAGCGTCCTGAAGATCGCTCTGATGCAGAGCCTGAAAACCATGTGGTTGTGTCCTATTGTCCACCCATCATTGAGGAAGAAATACCAAACCCAGCAGCAGATGAAGCTGGAGGGACTGCACAGGTCATTTACATTGATGTTCAGTCGATGTATCAGCCTCAAGCAAAACCAGAAGAAGAACAAGAAAATGACCCTGTAGGAGGGGCAGGCTATAAACCACAGATGCACCTCCCCATTAATTCTACTGTGGAAGATATAGCTGCAGAAGAGGACTTAGAGAAAACTGCAGGTTACAGACCTCAGGCCAATGTAAATACATGGAATTTAGTGTCTCCAGACTCTCCTAGATCCATAGACAGCAACAGTGAGATTGTCTCATTTGGAAGTCCATGCTCCATTAATTCCCGACAATTTTTGATTCCTCCTAAAGATGAAGACTCTCCTAAATCTAATGGAGGAGGGTGGTCCTTTACAAACTTTTTTCAGAACAAACCAAACGATTAACAGTGTCAGCGTGTCACTTCAGTCGGCCATCTCAATAAGCTCTTATTGCTAGTGTTGCTACATCAGCACTGGGCATTCTTGGAGGGATCCTGTGAAATATTGTTAGGAGGTGAACTTCACTACATGTTAAGTTACACTAAAAGTGTTCATGTGCTTTTAATGTAGTCTAAAAGCCAAAGTATAGTGACTCAGAATCCTCAATCCACAAAACTCAAGATTTGGAGCTCTTTGTGATCAAACCAAAGTTTTCTCATGTACTCTACCTTCAAGAAGCATTTCAAGGCTAATACCTACTTATACGTACATGTAAAACAAATCCCGCCACAACTGTTTTCTGTTCTGTTGTTTGTGGTTTTCTCATATGTATACTTGGTGGAATTGCAAGTGGATTTGCAGGCCAGGGAGAAAATGTCCAAGTAACAGGTGATGTTTATTTGCCTGACGTTTACTCCTTTCTAGATGAAAACCAAGCACAGATTTAAAAACTTCTAAGATTATTCTCCTCTATCCACAGCATTCACAAAAATAATTTTTGATGTAGCGACAGTGATTTAGTGTTTTGTTTGATAAAGTATGCTGATTTCTGTGCCTACTGTATAATGGTTATCAAACAGTTGTCTCAGGGGTACAAACTTTGAAAACAAGTGTGACACTGACCAGCCCAAATCATAATCATGTTTTCTTGCTGTGATAGGTTTTGCAAGCCTTTTCATTATTTTTTAGCTTTTATGCTTGCTTCCATTATTTCAGTTGGTTGCCCTGATATTTAAGATTTACATTTCTAAGACTATAGACCCATGTTTCTTTTAAATCATTTTATTTTGTGATAGTGACAGCTTTATATGAACAAATTCAATATTATTCATAAGCATATAATTCCAGTGATTTACTATGTGAGATGACTACTAAGCAATATCTAGCAGCATTAGCTGTCTGTATTCTGATTGGGTTTCGTTCCTCCTGAGGAGACCATGCCATTGAGCCTGGCTACCCAGGCAGTGGTGATCTTTGACACCTCCTAGTGGATGTTCCTCCTGCTCGTGAGTCTTTTCATCATGCCAGATTATCTGATCCAGTACTCACATTTTTAAATATAAAACAGAGAATGCTTCTTACAGGAACAGTTACCCAAGGGCTATTTCTTAGTAACTGTCATAAACCGATCTGAATCCACGGGCATACCTGTGTTGCAGGTGTAGCAATTGCTTGGTGAGCTGTGCATAGTTGGGTGCCTTCAGCACAGCATCCTCTGCCCACCCTTGTTTCTCATAAGCGATGTCTGGAGTGATTGTGGTTCTTGGAAAAGCAGAAGGAAAAACTAAAAAGTGTATGTTGTATTTTCCTTGCCCTCAGGTTGCCTGTGTATTTTACCTTTTCATAGTTAAGGCAAAAGTACTTGAAAATTTTAAGTGTCCAAATAAGATATGCCTTTTTTGTTTGGTTTTTTGGTTTTTTGTTTTTTATCATCTGAGGTTCTGTAATGTATTTACAAATAATGGATCAGTTAATTTTTTTGAAGCTCATATTGTATATTTTTAAAAACCATGTTGTGGAAAAAAGCCAGAGTGACAAGGGACAAAATCTATTTACGTTCTCTGTGTATGAATCCTGATTTTAACTGCTAGGATTCAGCTAAATTTCTGAGCTTTATGATCTGTGGAAATTTGGAGTGAAATGCAATTCATTTTGTACATACATAGTATATTAAAACTATATAATAGTTCATAGAAATGTTCAGTAATGAAAAATATATCCAATCAGAGCCATCCCTAAATAGTGTTCTCTTGTCTTCCTTTGTATCCTCTTTGGCTCCTTGCCTTAGCTTCCACCCCAGACATGAGATCTGGGGCTGCCTTCTCTCCCTGCCAAATTTTGCTGTTACCATAGTCTGCTTGCCCTCAACTCCTGCCTTGTTCCCTGTTGAAATGTATCAATCCCATACTTTATCTCTCCAGGACAAGGATAGGCGTTGGCTACAGTAAACATTTATTGCTCTAAACGACACTAACCTGAGATAACCAGAAAAGACCAGAAGAGATTGTTTGATCTTTGTCTGTCAATATATATGCATTTCAACTGTGACCATCTGGATCCAGGGCCCTTTCTAACCTATATAACGACTCATTTGTTTGGCTAATGATGAATATCACTGGGCTCTTAAGTCCTTTCGTTCTCTGCAAGACTTCACTGTTTTTTCTGTATGAAAAAAGTGCAGAATATCACTCACCTTTCCCCTACTTCTGGAGTTTCATACACAAGGATCACTAGCTTAATGAGAAGCAGAGTAACACTATTAAGTCTGGGCAAGCTCCTTGTAAGTTGCTGTATGCTTAAAAGAGTGTGGTTTGTGTCTGAGGCCAAAGCGGTTTTCCTTGTTTTTCCTCATTGAATTGAAGACAGCTAGACCCTTGTGCAGATCCCAGGATATTACCTCTCCTCCCACTCCACCTGTGTGTGTAGGGAGAGCAACAACACGGGAAGAGGAGAGGGAAGTGGGAAGGAGAGATTAGTCGCATGTCCAGTTGTCTGAGACACTGGTAAATGTGCACTGTTTGTCAATGCTGGTTGCATGCCTGCATTTACAAGGTGTTCTCATACTGATTGTGCTCTGTCCAGTTAGATTTGTGGCTTCTCCCTTGGAAGCGACAATTAAGGACTAGTTAGAGGCAGAGCTAGATGTGTTCTCTCCAGCCCTTACTGACTGGGAAAATAATTGAGAAATCCCTCTTTTCCTCTTCAGTGAAAGCCCAGTCATTGGTTAGAAAAATCTATATGTCAAACTAGCATTATGTTCCATCATATCTGTGGGGTAGTAATTCATGTAAGACATATTTTTACCTCTCTTATGAGTCAATTCACTTACAAGCCAGTTTCAACTCAAGCTTCCCTTCCGAGGAATGGAGGTCATTATGGGGCTCATTTATGAGTGACCATTTTAAATAAATAATATTTAATATTACATTATTAAAGACTTAGCTAGACTTTTAACATTAGATGAACTCGTGAATCATATAGTGCATAGATTAGCACATGTGTGCAATCTAGGTCATCAGCTTGTTGAATTTATGCAGCCCTGGATTTGAAACTGTGGCCCTGAGTGTCTGGATAGTTGAGTTGTGTGTTTATGTGCTTATGTGATAGAGGTGCTTTGTTCCTGCAGCCTAGAAACAGAAGCAGCCATTCATCGAGAAGTTTAAGAGAGGAAGTATCAACCTCATTTTCCAAACCAGCATTACTTTCACGGCTCATGGATCTGAAAGATTACATTTAGAACATTTAGTACTATTACACTCTCAGAAACTGTGGTAAAATGTCACATTTTCAAAACTTCATGCACATTGTATTCTTGTTGGAAATAAGTCCTGTAGTTTCTTAATTGTCTTCATGCCGTCCATATTTAACAAACATTACAAGTCCTTTTTGTATTTGGGTAATTATTTGTAATTTAATGAAGGAGACCAGGGAATGTTTTCTTCCAAAGGGAATTTAAAATCAATTTTACGGTATTTTGAAAGTAAAATATTCATTAACATGTCAATATTTTGAAAACATTATCTCAGAGTTTTCTATCGCTCAGGTATATAATCTGATAAAATTTTTTTGTTCTAAGGTTATTTTTGCTATTCTCTATTTTGAATTATGTTAAAATTTGTGTGCATTTTATGAAATGCCTTTTTTCTTATTTTGAAAGTGTAAAATTGGGCATCTCAGAGTAAAAGGGGGGATTATTAGCTACAAAAACTAGACACGTCGTGAAAGCTCAGTAACTAATTTTCTTGACCGAGTCCTATCCCAGAGTGTCACAGATTCAACAGAATTTTCCTGAAGGGCGATACACATCAAAATCTAGGTTGTGTAGATCTGAGACTATTGACTCAAAGATTCAAATCTACTTTGGAAGTGACTGCATGGTTTGAATGAAAACTGAGGAAGGGCTCATGCCTGTTATCACTAGATATTTATTTCTCCATAATTTTAAGTGTTCATACTTCCTTCTTATTTGATGGGTATGCAACTGGGGCATGTTTGTACCAGCCAGCGTGTGTTCTGCCCAACAGTGTGTCCATGTGTGAAGTTAACTAATTCAGAACTCATTCTCTTGATAAACTTTTTCTTGAAAGCATCTATTTTAAGTCTTTATTTCCTGCTGAAATGAAGTTTCATGCTGTCATGCCCATCTTATTTATTCTAGAAGAAAATTTTCATAGAAGAAAATGATTTATGGCCAAAGTTACAGAACATTCATCTTTTAGACTTAGCCTTAGAATATCATTGGAAATTACTTGGCTTGAATTTGGTTCATTTATATCTTTATGGATTATGTACCAGGGCCATTAATAACACTTAAACCCCTTATTTTGCTATGGTGGTTAGATTTTTTATTCCTTTTCAGTTATGCTGTTAATTATTACATGGTCACATTCATGCTTATTACAGATGAACTATTTTTAGTGCCAATGTAAAGGATTAAGGATAGCATTCAATTAGTTGGCTGATATGTCAGGCTTTATTGTACATGGTAATGTTTCAGGGAGTGTGATTTGGTCTAGAATATATCCAGATCCTTACGATATTGGGTTATGACAGGATTCTATTATTTTTAGCCATGAATGGTGCTTATTTTTCCCTGTATTAGGAATGTTAATATTTGGATTATCAGAGTCCATGTTATAAACAGAATTTATCTATGCAAGACAAATTCTAACTGTGCAACATTTTCATGAGAATTAAAAGTAGTGTGTTAAGGGGAAACTCTGAATGTTTTTATGTATAAGTGCCTAGCTAAAGAACCATAGAACAATAAATCAAAAGCTCTTATAAAAGAAAAACTGACTGAACATTAACCAGAAACAAAATATTAATAATTTACATTATTTTTTTGGTTGCTGGGACTGAATACCCCAAAAACTAAGAGATGTGAGTGGAGAAAATGTCTACTTGATAAGAAAATTGATTTATATTATATTTACGTGTGTCTTCTAAGATTGCCTTTACAGTAGCCAATCAGAACTTTAAAAAAAAAAAAAGCTAACAACATAGATCCTGTGTGTTGCACATATGACTAAAATACTTTGCACACCAGATTGAATGACTCAAGTTGTTGAATTTCCTTACACATTTAAAGTGTACTTTCGTTTAGAATTATTCCATTTTAAATGGGTAACTTTCAACTTCTGAACTATTTTCCTAAACATTCCAGTAGTGTATTATAAAAGATCAAAATATCTCTAGGTGGTAATACAATTTTCATTTGTAACATGGAAAAGTTAACTGTTAGGTTTAACATTAGTGTTTTTGCAATTGATCATAGAAAAGAACACTGAATAATGGTTTTCATACAATTTTTGTTAAACATTCTTTTCCCAGTTTGATTCCAAATACTTTTTCCCATTTTTTCTAATATATCATAAACTAGTGGTTCCTTCCATTTAATTTTTCCTTCCAACATAGTATTTAGGAAAAATATAAATAACATTGTGAGTAGCAGGAGACAACACGAAAAAAGAAGCCTTTCATTGTTGCAGAGGTGTAGGTATTATGTGATTGATGCCCTTCCTGGCATTTGTTTTATCCTGTTATTTTCTCAAAAAAGAGCATGGCTTTTTCTTAAATACATTTTAATTCAGAATTGCTTGCAAAGATTGGCCTAGATAGATAGACATCCTAGATTTAAAATAGTACCACCTTAAAGGTATGTTGAAAGGTAAAATAAATCATTTCAAAATACTTAACTTTCCCAGTAAGAATGTTAAGTTTTCTTCTCTTTCATTAGCTGGCCATAAGTCAAGGTCCTTATAACACTAGGAAATTACCTGTTTTTACTTTCAAAATTGCATTATAGTGAATTACTGTTTACAAAATACACATACTGTGAACAGATATAAGTTTCTGTCTTTTATAAGATTGTTTGTAGAATGAATGTTTTTTTTAAGTGAGTATTATATGTTAAATATTTTAAGTTTTTTATAAATACTAGTAACTGTTTACTAATTTTTGTTTGGTCAAGTGCTTGTAAATGTCGCTGAAAGAAGATAGGGAGAAACTGCAGATCCCCAACTGTTCCCTTTTTCATTTCTTGAAATGTTACCACTACAGATACTTTTTTTTTTTTTTAAGGTAAATGATCAGTTGTGATGTGCTGTACCTAAAATCATGTTTAATTGTATAAGGAAACGTTTAAATACACATATACAGGAAGAAAACTGTAGACGAAGTATGTGTGTGTGATTCAGTCTGATTCACAGAATTCTGAGAGTAATATGGAATAGAACAACTCCACTTAGATGATAACTGAAGCATTTCCTGCCTTGTGAAAATTTGGATATTAAATTGCTGTTAGAATGGGAAATTTGGACACTTTATATCATTGTATAATTTCAGAATTTAGTTACTGTATCTTTTGGAAAACATGATTATAGCAAAAACATAGAAAATAAGTAATCTATTACTAAAACACCATAAATGTAAAACTAGTATGCTTGGCTGTTAACTCTAAAGATGTTACTTATGTCTGTTTTTAAAACATGCATGTATTTAACAATTTTATCATAGTATTGTCATGGAAAAAATAAATATATTTTCTTACATCTTACACTGACAGACTTGGGCATTATTGGGTTTTTCCCCATGTTACACACTTAGGAGAAGTGGTGTCTGCTTCGTTGTTGTATTTTTTTGTTCTATCCCGTAAGAAATACTGTGGTTGTAAAGCAATCACATAACACTATGGATGTATTTGTAACATTTGAATACATTGCTGTGCCATTGGTGTGACATCCATCTGTCCATTAAATCATTATTGTTTACCTGAGAAGTTAGCATAAAAATAATCAAATAGTGGGAATCCAACATTGGCAAATAAATAATAAATACTGGTCTTTAAAGTAATGGTTTTTAGTTTATGCCCTCTGAAAATAGCTTAAACATTCCTGAAGATTCTGAGAATGTATCAAAATTTTATTTCAACCTATTAGGAAATACAGTCAGATTTAGCAAAACTAGTAATTTTAAAGTATAAAGTGATCTTTTCTTTCTTTTTTTTTTTTTTTTTTTTTGAGACGGAGTCCGGCTCTGTAGTCCAGACTGGAGTGCAGTGGCGTGATCTTGGCTCACTGCAAGCTCCGCCTCCCAGGTTCACGCCATGCTCCTGCCTCCCGAGCAGCTGGGACTGCAGGCGCCCGCCACCGCGCCCGGCTAATTTTTTGTATTTTTTAGTAGAGATGGGGTTTCGCCGTGTTAGCCAAGATGGTCTCGATCTCCTGACCTCGTGATCCGCCCGCCTCGGCCTCCCAAAGTGCTGGGATTACAGACGTGAGCCACCGCGCCCAGCCAAAGTGACCTTAAATAGATAAATGGAGAAATTAAGTCCTTAGTCATATGTATAGCCTAGACTTAGCCAGATTGAAACATGAATGGGCCTGGATTTAACCAGAAGAAACTCCAGACCAACTTAATTGTGAAAAATATGTTAGTATTTAAGTGCAAGGAAGTACATACATATGGCCTGTCCTTTGGGGATTCTCAGTGCATAACTTGTTTCCCAGATGGTAAGTTCTTGAGTCAAGATGTATAACACCCTCAGACCCAGGAACTTTTAAAAAGGATCAGAAAAGAATGATGAAATTATTGGGGGAAAAGATAGAGATGTATGAAAAAAATGTTAAAGGTATTCAATGTCAACTAAAATGTTAGCTTACAAACAAGTTCTTCAAAATGAACTATAATAGCTTGTTTTGAGTGGCTTATAAATTCGATCTTACTAGCCTTCTCCTGGAGTGATCAACAATAAAACTGAATTGAAAATATTCATTGTGCTGGTCCCAGGGAAGTTGAAGTAGCAAGAGATGGCTTGAACTGATTTGTGCTTAAATTGGAGATGATTTTATCCCTGGGTGATGAGTTTCAGATTAGAGATAAGAAAAGCTTTTGAGGATGATCTTGATAAAAACTGTTCAGTGATGGCCAGATGCAGTGGCTCACGCCTGTAATACCAGCACTTTGGGAGGCCGAGGCGGGTGGATCATGAGGTCAGGAGTTTGAGACCAGCCTGGCCAACATGGTGAAACCCCGTCTCTACTAAAAATACAAAAAATTAGCCAGAGGTGGTGGCGCATGCCTGTAATCCCAGCTACTCGGGAGGCTGAGGGAGGCTGAGGCAGGAAAATTGCTTGAACCTGGGAGGTGCAGGTTGCAGTGAGCCTAGATCACACCATTGCACTCCAGTCTGGGTGACAAGAGCAAAACTCCATCTCAAACAAAAAAAAACTTTTAAGTGGAAATAACTTTAAAATGAATGCAACCCCAGTGTATGAACCTCTGTCTCCAAACCTTCAAAAGGTATGAATGTCAAGCTTTAGCTCAAACAAATCTTTCTTCCCCTCCTGCCCTCAGCCTGCCTTAACTCTGCTCGAGGTTGGCCTGTAGAGGCACTTACATAGTCCCCTCACCTACACCATCCTTGGAGTTGTTGCAAGCCAGAGTCTGAAAGCCTTGAGGAAGCAGAGTGTTGAGAATAGATGGACCCTCGTAGTCCTAAATTGCCCAATTACCAGTGCAGGCAACATGCCACCTTCAGAATGGAACCTAGAGTCTAATTTCCTCAATTGCCATTGTCGCTCCCTTCCTTTCCTGTGTTGGCTGAGGCCGGGTTCACACCTTTTCCGAGGCAGCCACTGCACTGCAGGAGGTTTCACAGGCCTGGCTCCCATCCCAGCATCACAACTTACTACCAGGATAACCTTTGGAGAGTTCAATTCAGCCTCTCCCCGTGCCCTCAGCTCTGAAACGTGGCTCTTCATGCCCACCTTTGCAGGACTAGGGAAGATTAGACAGAGTACATCATGTTCCCAACAGAGTGGATGTTTGCTGCCCATGCCTCCTCTTGAGAAACTACAGGAACACCTAAGGCCTTAAAGGTATAAATGCCTCTGCACTTGTTTGGCTGCTCCTTGGGTCATCTCTCCCAGTTACACAGAGAGGAGCTGCGCAGCTCAGGGCCTGCAGAGGAGCCATGGCATCTGTCCCCCCAGAGTGAATGCAGGGGCTTCACTTGGACAACTTCTTCCATCTGCAGGGCCCAGTTGAGGCCTTGCTGGCTCAGAGAAGCCTTCTCCAGCATCGCCAGGCCCTCAGTACTGTGCCTTCCCAGGCCTGCGTGTCCCCACGGCACCAAGCACAATCCTAACGCTTGATCTGGGAATGGGAATTGAACAATGTCTCGGGCTCTTACATCCATGAAGCTTAGTTTAGGATCTGCCACATCTCAGGTGCTTGATCAATATTCTTTAAATGCACCTTGAGAAAAACGTGGTTTAATATGTTTCCCTGGGTGTCAGAAATATGTTATTTTACAGAGCATGATCCTACAGAGGGTGATCCCTTGTGAGATAGTCTTAGAGTGTGTAAGACAAGGGAACCCTGGTTAAGGACAAGGATGGGAGGCTCCCTGTGGTAGATCAAAGCAGCTCCTGCCCCAGATTTGGGCCATCTTGCCTTGTAGTAGATGCTTAAGTATGTATTGAATGCAATTACCTTGTTCTGCCTGGACAGAAATTTACCCTTATCTTCTTACCTCTTTGGTAACAGCAGATGGGAGATAAATGGCCTTTATCCGAAGTGACAACAGGTTAGAGTCCTTCTACCCATTGTCTGTCACCTCTGCCCTCTGCCATCTTCTCCCCAATTTGAACCTTGTTTTCATTTTCTGTGAGTCAGGTTCTCTGTATCCTTCAACTTGCATGGACAACTTGCATGACCAAGTGATCCATTCTGGCCCCCGTCCCTCTTCCCTAAACTGCATATCTGCTTCTCTGGAAGATAGTCTTGGCTCTGATATTTCAGGCATCTACTTTGTGGGCAGGTAAGCCCTGGCATGTTTCTCAGGCCACACCACTGTAGTCTCCTATTCCACCTGGAAATAACACATATTTCCTTATACACAAAACTTTCTTCCCTCAAGCAAGACCTCCTCAAGCATCTGGGCCCACGGTCCAGGCTCATCCAAGCTTATGGCCTTGTCATCAGGAGAATCCTCCCCAGCTCGCCATGAGGACTCTGGCCTGGCTTGCCATGTGCTCATCCCTGGTTCAGTCCTGTGGCTGGACAGAGGTTCTATTCAAAGGACATTTTCACAAGAGTTGGAGAAAGACCAGTCCGTCCAAAAGAGGTGATATCCTGAGTGGACAGAACAAAAAATACTCACTGAAGAAAAACTAGAAAATCAATGGTAAAGAAAAAGAAATCACACAATTTTTTTTTTTTTTTTTCCGAGACAGAATCTTGCTCTGTCACCCAGGCTGGAGTGCAGTGGTGCGATCTTGGCTCACTGCAACCTCCAACTCCCAGAGTTCAAGCGATTCTCCTGCCTTGGCCTCCCAAGTAGCTGGGACTACATGCTCACGCCACCAAACCCAGCTAATTGTTTGTTTTTTTTAGTAGAGACGGGGTTTCACCATGTTGGCCAGGCTGGTCTCAAACTCCTGACCTCATGATCTACCTGCCTCAACCTCCCGAAGTGCTGGGATTACAAGGGTGAGCAACCATGGTAGGCCCACACAATTTTTTTATGCAGCATTAGGTCTTTTCAACATTTTACTTTTTATCCTTTCAGAAATATTTTCCTATGTGAATGTGTGTATATATATGTACATGTCTATTCATATATATGTATATGTGTGCATATATAAAAGGGAATTGTAGATTCTATTTTGGAACTTGAATTTTTATTTCACATATTTTGAAAATCTTTTCATATAAATAGAACACTTCTATGGTACTCTTTCATGGACATATGAAATCCCAATGTATGGATGAACTATTCTGTATTCTGGATATTTTTCTGTATTCATACTTTTCATTAAATAATGGATAACTCTGAAAGTCAAACAAAAGTGTTTGGCATTAGTTTGATATCTGAATTTCATACTAAAAGTCATTGGCACCTTATACACAAAAACACCCAAACCAACTTTTTGATGTGGTCTTTTATGAGTAACTGGCTACCGAAGATTCCGACGCAGAGTTCCATGGCTTCCCTGCTCTCTCTTCTAAGATGTGGGCTGCTTGGGGTCATGCTGAGTGGCCACTGGAAAGGGCAGCTGCCTGACAATTTCCTCAGTCCCCCTGGGCACCCACACCATCAGCTGTACCCCAGCCTAGGTCCTTAGTCATGGCCAAGGGTCCCTGGACCCCAGGAACACAGGATTTTCAAGAACTATAAATAGGAATTTTAAAATACGGTTATGCTCTCTGAGAATAGAACCCCCCTCATCCTGAGTGTTTGACTCATTGTTTAGGGATGCAGCTGACCGCGGCGTAACCTTTAGTTGGGATAGCACGGGACAGAAGGTGCATTTTAGGAAAACGAACTTGGTTTTTGGGGAGGTATCATCTGGAGGTGGGAGAGACTGAAAGTTAGAGTTGATCAGGGTTGTGGTAGGCAGGACTCTACGAAGGCCCCCAAGATGCTTGTGTGGAACTGTGGAAATGATGGATTGTCGCTCCCACGGTTAGGCTACTCATCAATTGACTTGGAGTTAATAGGTGATGATCATGGGCAGGCGACCTATTCAGGAGAGCTCTTATGAGAGGGAC